GGGCTTTCATTATTCATACACTTTCTGAAGGGGATGCCCTTTAACAGTACTCACCACTGTATTCCCCATTTCACTAATCCACCATGCATTCTCAGAGTTCATGTTCAGCTTCAACCGACATCACTGCGTTACAAGAACAAAAACAACTGCAATCGGCAAAGTAACTAGTCTGCTCTTTCAGCTTTGACGCACTCATTCAGCATTCGGGAACATCCTGAAGCTCACCTGCCTACGAGGTGACGCACAGCTAACCGAGAGAGGAAACTGTGCCACAGGCAGAGTGAGCAAAGAGCTCCACTTCACGTTAAACTGAGTCAGACCGGTGGGTGGGAGACAGAAGCTAATGGATCACGGTGACGAGAGGGGGAGTCAATGTTCTTTGCTAAGGATACAAATTGGCGTCGGCGCTGAGAGGCACAATCGAGCGCCTAGTTGCCATGGTAGCACTTTTCCGCTGTGGCCTCGAAGATAGCCATCAAGACAAAGCCCGTCGGCGGTGTACGTCACCCCGGGTTTCATCAGCTGACCCAATTAAGACCCACACTCCTCCTGACACGGGCTCCCACCAGAGAGGTCGTACAGACAACATTCACGAGGGCAGAGGGAGGTTTGTTTCAGTGTTCGAATGAAAGGATAAATGTCTGTTTCACTTGGCTGTAATTAACATGTTACTCCTCTCACCACATTAACACACACACACACACACACACACACACACACACACACACACACACAGTAGAAACCATGTATGAGCTCATGCATTGTAGAATACTTCATATCATCAAGCTGCAACTAATGATTATTTTCATAATCTTTTAATCTAACAATTATTGTCTTGGTTAATCATTTTGTCCATAAAATATCAGACAATAGCGACAAATGTCTATCACAATTAACTAGAAACCAGGGTGACATCTTAACATTGCCTGTTTTGTCTTTGACCAACAGTCCAAAAGCCCAAATATATTGAATTTTCTGTCACATACAGTAATTCAAAGAAAATCAGCAGATCCTCCCAATTGAGACGCTGCAACATGTTGAGCATTTCTTGTTTAAGATTGATTAACTTTCTGTCAATCAACTAATGGATTAATTAATCAACTTGTTGTATCAGCTTCACTACCACTATAACATCAATATTCTCAATGTTTTTGGAGGACAAAAATAAGCGTTTTTCGTTTTCATTCTGCGGTTTAGACATTCATCACAAAGATTTATGTCCCCGAATGGTGCCTCTTCCCTAAAACAGGCACACTTCATTAGGGATGATTGAACGGCCATAGACATCTGTCATATTCACCAGCTGAGTTACCCCCAATGTCCCATTCATCACATCATCACATGAGCAGATGAGGCTAGATATAAAAAGCAGGAAAGAGATTAAATGACAGCAAATGTCAGCTGGCACTGACAGATTACGAGTTGTTCCTTTTTGGTTTTAAACTGTTTGAATCGCTTTGTCTTTGCATTACAGATTTGTCCGTCCACTGAAGGTTGAATCATGTGACAAAACAAGAAAGACTTCTTTCTCTCTTCATCTCAGCCTGAGACACAGACGTGGTGCTGGGCTCGTATGAATAAAAGGATAAAAGTAACTATTGAGGGCCTAAAAATAAAATAACTTGGGTTGGAATTTTTGCCTACAACAAGACAAGTGCAAATATACATCTCTTTACAATCAGTTCAACATTATGATGCAGCTTTAAAATGTTCGGTCAGGGAGTTCTCGCCCTCCAGTGATGTCATACTCCTGTGACAGTTGGGTGCTGAAGCCTTGGCCATCCAGCGACAGGCAACGTCACGTGAAATTTGATTAGGCTGCAGAAAACACAGTGGCATCCATTGAGAAGCCAACAAGGGCAGATTGTTTCTCGGTAGGCATTCCCCAATGACACATACACAAAAAGAGATACTGCATCACCTCATACATCCAAACGCCTGTGTGCACATGATAGAATAAACATCTCCTGCTTTTGACGACAGCTTTACAGAACATGGATGTAAAGTCAAACGCAGAGAAAGAAAATCCCTTGAAAGGCGAGCAGAGCCCCCTGCTGCAGTGGGTCTGAGATGACCCGCTGTTACATAAGCAGATTGGTGGAGCTCAGATTTAGCCAGCAGTGCTGTCACTCGCCGCAGGGAGCCAGATATCAAAGTACCTGCTGGTTAGTTAGAGCAGTAATTAGTCTGCAGCAGAACCAAGTGCTCCAACGTGAACAGAGCTCTACCTAAACATACAGTTTTCTTATTCAAAAAAAGGCATTTGGCTGAAGGAGAAAGGAATGTCTGCTTACAGCTGAAGAGCTATGTTTCTGCTGCAAAAAACACGGGGAGAATACAGGGCGTGACTATTGTTTGCAATCCTGGAAGTGATGTTCAATGTGTTGGTGCACCTGCACAGCTCTTTTTCCTCACAAAGACCCCCCCCACCCCCACACACACACACACACACACACATCACAGGTCACAGAGGGCTCCTGGGTGAATCTGTCCTCAGTGCCAACAACTCAGTGAGGGAGAAAGCAATGCCACTTGATGTCTCTATTTCTAACAGCCAGCAGCTGAGAAGCTTCCCATCACAAGCGTCACTGCAGCTGTCATCGCCGTGGCAACCCCCACATCCACCTACAAACCAGCATCCATTTCCTCTCACTTTTGGCTTTCGGCGAGAAAAGGATGCATTTGGCTTAAAACAAAGTCCATCTCTGTTTGAGAGCATGAAGAACTGAACAGACGAACCAGCCATCACATAGATTACCACTGCTTTTAATATTTTTATATCTCCTATTTATATCTGGGAGCTAATTCTCACACACAGTCCTCCTGTGTTACATCAACCACTGCCTGGATGCTCCATCTGTGCTCCAGCGTTAAAGGGCAGGATAGGATGCTGTTGTCCTCCCTCTTCTCAACCCTTTCTCTGCTATATTCCTCATCCAGGCGTAGCAGGGGATGACTTGCAGAAACCAACACCGCTATAATCACATTTTAAAATATGAACCAAACACAATAAACAGGCCTGTACTATTTTTCCCCAAGCAGAGACAATACAGAGGGGTGATAATATGGGGGGGATACAGTATAATTGTCCTTTTAAATTCTTGCTTCATTTTCATGGTAAAATGATAATTATCTTGAATTTTGTGTTTTTGTTGATCTGCATTAAAGGCTACTCAAAAATATACCTTTTTAGACTGTTTAAAAACACACAAATCCTCCTCAAAAAATGTATTAGCAAATTCTGATGACATTTATTTGACATTAAAATGTTATTGGCCTAAATATAGGCTATTCTACAGAGGCTACACGCAGATATGATGCTGTCAACAACGCTTTGTAAGAAAGAGGAATGTGACGTCCAATCAAAACCTCTATTTCAATGGATGTCACCCCCTCCACGCTCAAACAGGCCTACATGAAATGGTAAATATACTACATAAAGCACGACATGTCCTCGGATGTGTTTTTATGTGGTGTGGATTTGTTTGGTTCGTGTTTCTAGACCATCTACCTGCTCCATCGTCCGGCTCCAGGCCCGTCTCCGTGTCCACTCCACACTCAACAAAATAGTGGGCGAAGCGGCAAGAAGCCGATCCGGTGGCCGCTGCAGTCCCGTTCATCCTCGACGCGTTTCTGGTGTGAGAGCTCCGTTTACTTCTACTGAACGTTGTGGATGTTCATAGCTGATGCGGCTGATCCGAAACGTTTCTGCGCGCCCCTCTCGTCCTTCCGTTCCCGATCCGTGCGCTGTGATGTGTCGGCCCGCCCGCCTGCACTCTGTGACTCTGACGGAGCTCAGCAGGATCCGGCGATGGTCATCTCGCTGTTTCATAAGGGGAGGGGGACGTACTGTGGGAGAGAGGGGGGAGACAAAGACCGGAACGCATCACCGACAGTGTTCAATCAGCCTCATTTGAAAGGGTGTTGTCCAAATGCATCATCCACGCCCACAGCACAGAAATCACGATTTGTGGAAGGGATTTAAAAAAATATATCACAGTATAACCAGCAATGCATATTAAATTAAGATCTTTCATTTTTTTTAAATTCAAAGTACTAGCAAAGGAAAGTTGATTAAAACGTGTAATAGATATTTAGATGTATTCTTGATATAAGTAGGCTACAAGGTTCTACACATGAAGGTCAGTTTACTGCCTGTGCACACGGTTGTATAATGTCTTTGTGGCTCTAGAGGCAGCTTTCTAAAGTTTGAGAAAATAATTAAAAATTTGGTTTGAGACCTCAATTTATTTTTTACAGGAAGCTTGCATTATAAACTTGAGGTGTGGAGTTTGAAAGAAGTGGGTTTTGGGGTTTTTTAATCGTTTTTAACCTAAATACACAGTGTTGCATCAGAGGTGGACCCACACTAGAGAATAACGTCAGGATAACTGCTTTGAGTTTGACCAGTCTTTTCAAATCCGTCTCTTTTGAATCCTCCAACTTCATAGAAGAGCTATAATAACTGGATTGCCCCTTTGAGGCTCAGTCGAATATGTATTCCAGCTCTGTGGTGCATACCTCTATGAACTAAATTTGGCTTCTCTATATTTAGTTTGGACTCTGACAACAGTTAGATGAGCCGTTATAAAGTTTGACAATCATATATTTAGTCCTACAATAGTCAGAGGCCACTGAGGTTTATAAACATGCAGCGGTAATGTAAACTAACTGGGTGGCAACCTGAGAATAAATAAAATGTTTTCACTTTTCTTCAACTTTGCAATGACTGTTGCAGCAGCAGCACCCTGAATGAGATGAAATTGTGAGGTGGTGGGACAGAGCTGAGAAAATATCTTAATAATTAACAGTTACCTGTTGGTAAGATTCTCTCCATCATGCCTGGACAGGAATCCTGATTCTTGCTTTCTTTCTAACGTGGTATTGATTGTATATACACGGCCAACAGTTTCACAGCTACAGCAGAGCTCGTCACAAATTCAGTGACTGACTCTAGTTTAATATATTTGAGTAAACTGCAGAAATAAGGAAATCCATAATTTGTCATATCAGGCATTTATTGAACAGTTCAAACAGACAAACATTTATCATTTTATAAGCAAAATGCTGACTAGCTTCATTAAATAAATATGATAATCAAGGTCACAAGTAAATCAGCCTCCTGCTGTATATCTGTTCTGGTAAACCATGTTGCCTGAGAGAGATTTAGGATTTGGGTTTAATAAAGTCAGTGTCCAAACTTCGGAATGTGCAGCATTTCTTTACACCTGGTCTGGCTCATGCCATAAAATCCTTGCATTAAAAATCATATTCTGAGATAACCGTCACATCTTTCATGCAATTTAGAGGACAACAAATCTGCAGATGGGTCCACAACTCCGGTCCTCCAGTTAGACAACATGTGGATCAGTCACTTACAGCCCTTATTGAAAAATGCATAATTTAACAAAATGCTTGTACTTAACATTCAATCTCTGTTATTCAATGATCATTGTGTGCATAAAAATGTCCGTGTACAGTAATTGTTATTACAGACTGCTTTGTCCATTCGTTTCCAAGCTGCACATCTGCACGACATTTGTTGTGGCTGAAACAATCATAGCAGTACAGACATCCTTTCCCCCTGCAACTTCCTCCTGCTCCTCCCAGGAGGATCCACAGGGAGATGGAACACCCCCAGTACATCCCGGATCAAACCTGTGGCTGGTACACCTTCAAAGTCAAAGTTTGCTTCGGTTGCATCAGGTGTCCCAACCACTAGTACAAGCTCTTCTTAACGCAGGGGAGGCAGTGTTTCAACTCAAAGTTCTTCCTAGGCACACTGATCTAGGGATGCACCGAACTGACTGTTTTTAGTCCCGATACAGATACCTGGGCATCGTCTGATACCGAGTTCCAATCCAATACCTGTGTTTGATAAATACGCTGTATGCTTCACTGTGTGGAAGAGACTGAGATCATTATTTTATGTGAAAGGAACATCAGGCTTGACTTAAACATTTCTTTCCTAACGCTGCAAAACAAAATGTTACAAATAAATACATAAATATAAATGTATTGAAATCTATTGAAATAATGGTTTCAGATATCTGATCCAGCTAGTTGAGTCAGATATCGGTGCATCTCTACACTGAACTTCTCACATTGTCACAGAATGTGAGGCCAATCGTCCTGTATGTTGACCTCACTTTAGCTCTTCCAAAGTCATGATCCACTGATTCTCACATTCAATTCATTAATAAAGAAAACTCATAAAGACCATGATCTTTAAACATGTTGATACATTAGCGAGGACAGGAGTTGTAGTGCAGCCATTCTTTAGTGTCTCCAAGGCATGCTATGTGGCAAGAAACCTCATCAGCTTCCTCTTTAAGTGTCTCTCTGACCCACAGAAGGGTAGAAAGTTAGGTCGTGCTGCACATGTTCATTCTGACACTTTCTCTAGAAAACATTTGGCAGTGGGTTTGGGTTCAGAAATTTCACCTGGAGCACGTCTTCAGAGAAAGCAGGTGACGTTCTCAGAAGAAAGGGCACTGTGGATCTTTGAAGGAACAAAGTCTCTGGCAATGAGAAGAAAACTCTTGGTGAGGTGGCCTGTTTTTACTCTCTACCAAATGAATGGTTTCTTCCTGCCCACTCATTGCTCATTAATTAATTGATTGGAGTGTAAGAAAGTGAAAATCAGGGAAGAGTGGCTGGTGAGGTGGAATAGATAATTTACTTATATGTGGTAATAATATTGATCTAGGGAATACTGTAGATGTAGAGAGAGAGTGGGAGTTGAGTATCCACCCACAGGAGGCTATGCAGCCATCTCTATTATAAGATTAATGTCAACAGATATACATTTGAACTAGGAGGGTGATGGCTTTGGCAAAAATGTGTGGAAGCAAAAGCTGTGCATGGATCAAGAATGCAGAGACGGAAGGTCTATGTCAAGATGCGGGCCACCTGGGACTGAATCTCAACATCTGGGTGTGAAAGCAGCTGGACCAGGCGGCCGTGTAGCTGGGAGGACTCATCCAACATGACCCGGAAGAGGCAATCCTGCTTCCGCCTCAGTTCATTAGCCACCTGTGCAGAAGGCCTCCAGGCCTTCAGGTTCCCTGCAAACGTCAGCAGTCGCAGAAGCACCGGAGGGGCAGTTCGTGAATCAAACAGCAGCATAACCGAAGCTGGTGCCTTCGTCAGAAAGGAGAAAAACTTGGACTGACAACAGTTTGACTACAGATTTGACTTATCTAATCCATTTGTTTTGATGACCTCTTAATGCAGAACTATGCTAACTAACTTGCACAATCTCTTTACTCATACCTGCGCTTGAACAATGTCATCCATCATATCTGGATTGGAGGACAAATTCACAAGGACTTTCACAGCCTGAACCTGAAAGGCAAATATTAGAAGTGCTTAATTAATAAAATATTGCATTCACAGCTCTAATGAGCTCATCTGTTTTCCAAGAGCTACAAGTTTTTCAAATGTTTCAAAAGGTATTCAAAAATGTGAAGACGATCAACCAGGTGTAACCGGAAAAGACACCAACCTGTAATGCTTCACTGCTCACAACAAGTAGAGAGAGTAAGAGCGTAATGGATTCCTTCAGCAGGTGTTGGTGTTTATCTGTGACTGAAAGGTTTGTCAGCAGCCTGAGAGCACCAAGCTGAAGGTCAGAGTTCACTGGCGACATCTCAATCAGCTCCAGCACTTGTGGCACATAAACCTATAACGGCATGGACATGAATATGTAAGCAAAAAGATATCATGTCGAGCAACAGATTGCATGATACTTGCTGTACAGTAGAAGGCAACATACCTTTATTTGTTCCTGGTTTTGGATGTTCATACACAGATTATTTAAAGCATTCAGAGTCTGCACTCGAACCTCTGCCACCGGATCAGAGAGGAAACTAGCTACGATATGAATCCCTTCAAATTCCCGTATAAGATTCTGGAGGATCAGCAAAAAACAACACATGACTGAAAAGAGACATAACATCACACAGTATACAGAACTTTGAGTGGCACCACTAACAAAGTACATCAGCCACATAACTTTCTAATTAGATACCGTACAACTTTACATGAAGCAATCGGAACGAACCTCGCAGAATGGTTTTAAGAAAGTGCACTTCTACTGTACCTGGTTCACAGTAAAGGCAGCAGAATTCCCCAACGTGAGTAGTATCCGACATCGGTCGGGTGGCTTATTGCTGGTCTGCAGACATGACAGCAGCATCCTCAGGTGCTGTGGCTCCAGGTTGCCAGGGGACTGGTGGATGATTTCACCTACAGAGCAGGATAGACCATATAACAAACATGTATGGATAATAAATAAGTGTTTGCACTGGAAGAGACAGGGTATGCTTACCACCCAGCTGAAGTTATTGTTTCCAGTCAAAAGCTCTCCAGATTATCTCTGACTTCATATCAAAATGTGACCATATTTTGGGATTGAATGTGCGTGCTTTGAGTTTACACACAGGGCAGTTTGAGATCTTGGGAGATTCACTTTGCTGGAACCATCAGGTTTAGATGTAGTTACTGTGCACGCTTTATGAGCTCTGTGGTTCTTACATTACCTGATGCAACGTCCACAGGTCGGGGACAGACAACATCCAGTCCAGACACTTTGGCCAGCAGGCTGCCCGGCTGAAGGGTGACTTCACTGGGCTGACTGCTCCTCCTGACACCAGGACTTTCATTGGCAGCACTTTTCTTGTTTCTCTTGAAGCTCCCCCCGCTGATGAGTTTGTATAACCCGTAAGAAGCTCCAGCTCCGGCAACTAGTCCAAGCAACGCTTTCATGTTGCCGAACCTGGGAGTAACACTTCCATCGCCCATGCTGCTGCTGCGTCTCTAGGTTAGCGAAGCTCTGTTAGCTAACGTTAAGCTGCTCTGAAACGTTGCGAGTCTAATCGGTCGACTCTTCAGCTAACTGACCCGCTCCTCAGCTAGCTAGCACTGACGACAACCCACCACTGACGTCAAATAAATCCACCCAGACTAATGTTGACGGAGTCATTGTTGTGAAACCTGGAGAAGTTTGCTGAAAAGCTACAGCTGTTACGTTGTTCCGGGGCAGCTAGTGTTGCCAGGTTTGACAAAAAGAAGCCCAATCAAAGTTTAGAGCCTTCGCCTTATTTTATCATAGCGCTATGACAGAATTATAACTGGAATATGATTTTAGTTTCAATGTATTTGTAACAAACTACCCAGACGGTACACGCATATCCTGAATCACCCCAATCCACACAAATCAATGTTTACCCGTTCACATAAATTAAAACCTCCCAATCTGGCAACGCGTCCGGGCAGCTCAAAGTGGCCGACCAAATGTTTCGCTGGGTGATTAGCAAAGAGTTAACAAGAAGAAAAGCTTTCATTATAAAGTTGGAATATGTATTAAAGGCAGTTAACAGCAATGTGTTGACTGAACAGGCGTGTGCGTCACATCGTTGGTTGTATATCACACCGTCGTTGCAGCGCATTAGTTGTCCAACACGTAACGTTACAGTCTATGGACTCTCCTTGAGACGGACACTTGGTGGCTCACTTGCTCAAGTTTTCTTTCAAGGTTACTGCTTGGAGTGAAAGTCTGTTCTCTTCTGGTTAACTTTCCCATCATTGTCCATTTCCACAATTTAACAGATCTTCAAGTGCCCCTTTACGTTCATATTAGCACCAAGTACTCGATATGGATGTACTACAGTACATCCATATACCCTCACCGTTATGTTTATACTTAGAGCGAGACTCCTGGGGATCTTAACCATCAGTATGTCCTCAGTACATAATGACAACATACAGGCTTAGCATTAGTTCATATTTGATGAAGAATAATATACCGTCTAGTGTCAACTTATATATTTTTTAGAGAATGCTTTTTCAGACTTAAATGGGTAGTGGTCAGTACAGGTCATACACATTTTTAAATAATTTAATCTTTTTGTTAAACTTCATTCTTTTTTGAGGCACAAGTTTGTTGCTGATGCAGAACAGCGTCGTGCAACAACCCCTCTGACAGGCAGGACTGTGGACACAGTCTATATGGACCCAGATGACGCCATGGTACAGTATGGTTTAGCTGGTACATACCTTTAAACGTCAGATTGAATCTCAAGATTGTTTTTAATAATAATTGCTGTTCTGTATTCCTCTCTAATGTCCTACTGCCGTTATAGGAACAGTTTAACACGCTCTTGCTTCAGGTAGGCCTACAGTATTGCAGCCAAGATCAACACATGAGGGTTTGAATGATTGATTAAGGATTTTTGAGGGAAAAGGAAGGAAATTACCATTAGACACTGTATGTTCAATCACTATTCAGGTATTTACTTAAGTGTTACCTACAAGCACACACACTGAAGATTTAGCGAAACAAGATTGATTTGTTTTCTTAATCACCTTACATAGTTTTTAGAGTTATCAAATTGGGAAGCATGAGTCAATAGATTTTTACTGCTCAGATATTGGCACACTTGTCATTTGTGACTGAAAATAAAGCTAGTCAACCTAAAAACACTGACATAGTTGATCCCATGTGACACAATCAAGACAAGGAGGTCAAAAAGTTACAACAGATGTGTGTAGAAATGCAGAAACTTGATTTTCCTCCAAGTTGACGATGGCAAGAGATCAAAAATAAAAATGAGACTTTAAACTTCAGTTTTCAGTTGTGTGAGCATTAGCATTCACAATGTGAATACTCACCCATATTTATAAAGGACTGACTGTCAGCAATTTTACCTGCATTTGAGAAAATGTAAATGTTTTTATTCTCATTAATCATAAGCACAGTTATATTGACAAATAAAATATCTGAAAGTTTTCCATACCATGTTATATCTCGAAAAGTTTTGATTCACTTTTTAATGTTCAAATCCTTTTCCATTGTGGGATCTAGTGTTCTTGTATACATCCAGCAGATAAAGGTTCATAACTGTTCCTTGTTAGAGATACTTTGCTCCTTACGTAGCCGTTTCTGGATTTCACTCTGTGTGTGTATACAGATTTAGGACTAACACGTACTGTCTTGTCTTGGAGATGGCCACCATGTCTGCTTGAGCCATCAGGAGAGCCGGAAGGTTGCCCAGTAAACCTTGTGAAGAATCCGACTGGCTTCTTTCGATTGAAAGCTACATTCTGAGCATCATGCGGGCTGCTGGTTTGAGGTCCAACAAGAACACTGCTACTCTGTGGTGAAGGGTTATTAGAGCTTGAAGAAACAGAACCAGTAGATACAGGCAGGTGGGCGGTGGGCATGTGGTTTATATCATTTGATTGCCTGCCAACAGTGGGTTGATGGGTCGGAGATGATTTGGCTGGTCTTTGGTTGTGTTCTGGTTGATAATCTGGGATGTAGAGTTGATCTCTTGGTGCATATAAAACGTGACCGGAATTCAAAGATGAGGGCATTGCTGCAGACAGGATATTGGCTGGAGTCACTCTGCTTAGTTCCTGACTTTGGACATCTTTACCAAGTTCTAAACCACCAGATAGTTTTTGATCCCATGTTAAAGAGTCTTTACTGTAAAATGTATATTTTGGTCGATGCTGGATAGTCTTCTTAGAGGTTAGATCCTTTCCTGAATAGTGGCTGAAATCTTGAGATGGGCTGTTTCGAGGGTCGACAGGAGATGCAGTCACATGGCCACTGAAAGACAAATCATCTCCAAAGAATGAACCAGAGGGTATTTGTTTAGGGAACTTGGAGCTTGTTGACTGAACAGCTTTGTTTCTCACATGAGGAGCACTTGTGAAAATAACAGGGTTTTCCCCAGAAATGCCACCACTGTCAAAACCTCCATAATTACGTGAAACATGCTCTGTGGCTGCTAAATTATGGAGTGGATAGAGAGCAGAGCCTCGGCCATCATAAACTCTGGGAGAAATGAGACTTGCAGTGGAGTCCACAGGATCAGGGACAAAGAGGCTTTCACTTGGCTTTTGGTAGTTGGTGCCCTGTTCACCTTGTTCAATTGCTGTATTCATAGCGTCACTCCAGTCTTCATTTCCACTGGCGTCATCATGGGCAGTGCCTTCTTTTGCAGAAGAAGACCTATAGCCAGTGTCATGCTGCCCATTATTATTTACATTTTGGGCATTAGAAGCTATCTCGTTTTCAATAGTTTCCCGTGCAGTTTGAAAATGTCTTCCCACGTCACTTCCTGGGATTAAGAAAGATGTCTTCAGTGATTCTATAAACCGTTTAAAATCTTTGATTGATGAGAAACTGGTGCCCGCCGTATTTTTCCCTTTTGTGTGCGCCTTCACTAAAAGGCCAAAGGGGTGTTGATAACCAAACCCTTCATTGTCTTTTTTCAATACAGGGGGAGAGGAGGGGACAGCATGTTCTGACTCTGGTTTGCTTTTTATCATCTCTTCACTGAGACTAACCAAGCTAGCATCCTTATTGTTTTCATGTTGGACTGGTTCTCTCTGAAAGCTTTGGTGTATCATCGCTTGCATCTCATCCCTTGGACTAACGGAGTCTTGGTTTGGGTTTAAAGATGCTCCAGAATGAAACTGGTTTGATGTTTGTGGACCAAACACTCCTGCGTGGCTACTAAAGTCATCATCATTGAGAGAGTAGCCATGTGCAATATTGTAACCTAACAGGGAATAAACAGGCATTACGTTTATTTCATATGGTTGAACATGGTCAGGAATACAGAAATTCTTACCTTTTTGAGGAGGAAAACAAATACAGCCCCACAATAACAGAGTGCAAAGCCTAGAGACGCTGAAAAACAATAATGTCAGAAAGATAAAAGTAATACAAGCCACATTTATTCAAAAATGCACTTGCATTTTATTTACCCAAGTTGAAGAGCCATGGCAGTGAGTTCATCCACGTGCAACAGCAGCAGACTGTTCAAATTACCAGCCCAGATAACAATCAGTCGTGCTTCGTCCTGTTTTCCCCCTGAAAGTTTGGGAGCACGGAACGATAGGAAAAGTGCAAGGAAGGTCGCTAAAACCTTTTGCAGATTCTGCTTACACTGATTGCAATTAGGTGATTGTAGACAGCTGGTGCTGTGTGAAAATCAACCACATTAGGCAAGCACAGGTGGAGACTTTATTCAAAGGGCTGCATAGTGATGGCTCAAATATCACTAAACGCAATCCAGAAATTCAACCGGATGATATAGCTTTAAAACATCTGTTACCTTTCATCATGTCCTTTTGTGAATCCCCGTGTCTTGAATATACACATTGTATGTAAATTGTACATGATTGATAGGAAGACGATAACATACAACCTTTCACTCAAAAAGTTAAAACTTCTGAAATTAATCCACAAAATATCCATAAAATATTGATAATGCCAAGAGAGAGAACGACTCAGATGTCATTCAGAAATTTGACCCATGTGAATGAAAGTCCTGAATGTTTTCTCTGGATCATTGTTAACAAGTGGCTGAGTTCATGAGGATATTCTATTTCACCTGTCTATTGTCAGCACAGACCTCTACATCACTGACCTTTTGTCCAGTCAGTCACTCTGTCCTGTCTAATTGTCCAAACCAGCTTCAGTTGAGATCATCGTCATAAAAAGAAAAAGAGATACAATGATACAATATTCAGTGTTACTGACTCCTGTCCTGTTGAGTTAATGCAGGTTTCTGGAAGTCTGCCTGTGTACCTTTCCCCTGAATTAATGATGAGCTGTGTTTGCTTTTGGGGACAGGAAGGGGAAGAGGTTCACTGCACAGAGTAAAGGAGAGGTACAATAGAGACGGCTCTGAATATGGACATTGCAAAGAAACATTATGAGAGGAAATGCCAGCGGGTTGCACTCACCAAATGGTCAAACTGTGTAAAATTACACAAGAAGACACAGGCCGGTAGGTGGTTACTAAACTCTGAATGTCTGTCTGTTTGTCTGTTCTTGCAAGCTGTGACTATGTTGTATATTTTACAGCCAGAGAAAACATGCAGCGTGGTTAAGAAATGTGTCCAAACTGAACAATCATTTCTTCCCCACTGCATACACCCACTCTTGTGACTCATTTTGTCCCCTGCTCTTTTTACTTGACTTGGTATTTTCTTAGCTAAATTTTGTCTTGAAATTCAGAACAATCCACCTTCATGAGCATAAAGTCCCACATGTTATCCTCTGTTAAAAAAGATGCAGAAATCTAAATACGTGTGCTGTTCAGAAGTGATGGACATTTGAAAAAATATTTAAATTTCTTTTCAACTTAGCTGCTGTGGAGAAACTTGAGCGAGTTGTAAACGCTGGCCGCCTTCACCGCATAATAGCTGCATGGCGTAATGTTGCAAAGGACTCAAAAAGGGCAAAGGAGTACTTTAAGGTAAACATTTATTTGGAAGTATAGTAAAAATTATGAATTGTACCAATTTTCTATATTTCTTTATTTCGTGTGAATCTTGCAGAGGTTGGAAATGGGGTTTGTAGAAATCGGCAACAAAGTCCACCAGGTTGGGGAAGGATGTGACGGACTCTCCGTGCTCCCTACTAGCCTCTCGATGACGGTAGTTCCTCTACACCACGCAGCATCCGTGTCTCATTCAGCCACACAGAGCTGTGATACCTCTGGATTTAAAGCTGGAGCAGCTTCACCTCTCTGTTTTCTAAGCAGTGATGAGATCAAATCTGTTACATAAGACTTAAAGTGGACTCCACTGTAAACATGCCTCCGGTCTCTCTGAGGCCAGTTGATTAATGTCAGTTGAAGCTCATTATGGTCTCGTATACCTATTACCCATTTCCACAGAGTGGGTTATGTTTGTGGGAAAACTCTCTCATCTATTGCTGTTATGTTGTTTTGCATTATGATAATATTATTTTTGTAGGTATTATATAATTATAAGAGCACGTTCATACTAGCGGGCCCTACAGTTTATAAATACATCAAATAAACATCTTTTTGAGTCTGCTTGCACTTACCCGTCATAGCCCCTGTTTGTTTTGGATTGACATTCGCTGGCAAAGGGATTGCAGTTCTGGCTTTGTTTGCTCTGGTGTTCCTGTCCAAACACTTCTCCTGATAAATACTTAGTGCTTCAGCATGACTATGTTTGGAGTAAGAAAGAGGCTTGTTGTACAATTACATCAAACTGTCCCCTTGACATTGCACAAACATTTCCAAAGTGAAAGCTGGTTACTCGGGTATCGGTGAAATAAAAAGGAATAGGAAATTCATATGTTTCCATAATAATGTCATATGATTGTTTGTTCTTCAGATCTTCCAATATTTAGAGTTGCGAGACTTGCTCAATTGTGCTGAGGTATGTTGCACGTGGAAAGCTATCGTCCAATCGGGCGCACTGTGGAGTCAGGTCTGTACTGGGAGATGGGTTCTTGTATGGGCATTCACAGTGCTGTCTAAAGTTATACTTTAAACAGGAGTATAAATGTTCCCTAATGTGTGTCCCTGTTAGATCAACTTCTCTGTGGAGAAAGACTGGATAACAGACAGCACAATGAAGCAGATTCTGCAGAACTACCGCCCATTTGTCATCCATCTCAATCTGCGAGGCTGCGTGTCTCTAAAATGGCCCAGCTTGAAATGTATAAGTGAGTATTTCATATTCTGTCGCCAGATTGTTTTGTTATTGTTTCATGTGCAGTACCCATGTTTCACTTAGGTGTGCATTGATACAGATTATTGTAATAATTTGTCAAGACAGTCAATAAGTTGTCAACTCTTATATTCTGATTAAAAGGACAACAAATATGAAAACAACACGGAAAAATGTAGTTTCTCCATCTGATACAGACAGTTTTATGACAATGAAAGGAAATGAATGAAGGGAAAACAAAGAGTCAAATTGTAGGACAAAGTTTCACTCGAATCAGGACAGCCTGATTATCTGGTATTTCTGCGGTGCTCTCAAGTGGCTTGGCTCCAGCTCCTCCAGTTCTCCCTGCACTTCCATTGGTGTGTTCCATAGTTCAGGGTCTGTTTGGTCTTGATCCGTTCTGCTGTGCTGCCTGTCCTTTGGACACTCTCTGTTGTAGGAATGCACATACTGCGCTACACTCTCCCCAGTATGTTCAGGAGGAGAACGACACAAGAGGCCAGAGTGTCTCACCCCTGGGTGCAGGCGCAGCCAGTACACCATATAGTGGATGCTGAAAAAAATGCAATCACTTTTTAATAATTATTTGCATTTGTCTAAAGAAAAGTATTGCCGACATCCGAGCCCGAAAACCCACCTATAGTCACACACCCAGGGGTTTCCTCCCAGTTTTAACTGTGACAGGAAGTAAAGGTCTTCAAGAACACCGTACTTGACAAAATGCAGGCTGTTGTTGGACAGGTCCAGCTCATGTAGATGCAGCAGCCCAGACAGGGAAGCTGGAAGAGCGATAAGAAAGAGCACGAGCATAGCATTCATTTACTTCTTGCTTCTCTCAGTTTAGTTATATTAAGAGAGGCCTGTTGCTGTTCATTATTTACCAACAAAAGTAAAAGCCAGTGGTGCAATCAAACTCTGATAGGAATGTGCGAGCTGGCGTTTGTGAATCACTTAAGCAAGAGTGATCACATTATGTTCGTTACCCTCTATACTGTAAATAAAGCCAATACTGTACACATAAAGATGTCTCTAAAAAGGAAATATGGGAAACAGAAGTCAGCAGCAGTTGTGTAACGGGTTCTTAACCTTCGGCCATCCATATGTTTCCTATCAGCCAAAGAAAAACCTTGTTTGTGTAGTTTCTCATGCTAGATATTACCAGAAATATTTAGCACATATTTACTGGTGATGATTAATTGGTATACAGAAATAATAGCACACATACCTGTGTCAATGTGCTCCATGTTGTTATGACTGATGTTAAGGGTTCTGAGGCCCCTTGCTCCGTGGAAATTTCTGGCTTTGAGATGACGGATTGAATTATGGGACAGATCGATATGAACAACATCCTCTGGAATACCTGTAGGCACCTCAGTTAGACCTAAACATAGAGGAGAACGGGTTATTTAAATGGTTCTCAAATACATTTCATTACTTTGCCTAAGCCAAAACATTGCTGTATTGGGTGTTTTTTTCTATTGTTTAGAACTATAGATTTTTCATCTTTACCATCCACATTTGTTAAACCAAAAACTGAGAAAATAAATCATATTGTGTTTCCACTCTTGGTACCGCAAGGGAAAAATTCACACAGAGACAGATTTATGCTCCACCTCTATCCATAATCTGAATTTCCTCCTGCCGGTATGAGGCAGATAGTTGTAACACATTATTTGATTTACAGTATTATTAGGTAAATTTTAAATGCAGGTTTTGCAACAGACTCATTCTGATGTATTAGCCAAACGTTGTTCAGTTCATGCTTTCCAAGTTGTTCACAAGGTGACAAATGACTATAAAGTAGAGTCCGTCACAGTTTAAGAAAGCAAATAGAAAACACCTGCCAAACCAGATGTGTCTCTTTGATAGTTCTTAGGAGTCTGGCCCTGAAAATGTTTTGAGAAATGGAAGTTTAGTCATTCCAGTCATACAACCCTAATATTTAATCATGAACATACGAGCTCTGTGACATGAAGCGTAATTTTTTTCGAGCCCTTGTTGAATAAGAAACACATTTAGGGAAAAGCTGATTGTGAACTTGCCTCGGTTCCTGCAGTCCATCCGTATTTGTGGGAAAAGATAGGTATGGCAAGATGTGGTTGCGTCTGGTTTTGAGCGGAAGGGAATGGGGTCTACATGGTCCACAGGGTCTACGGGATCTGTTTGGTCGCCCTGTTGTTCGCCGGTTAGGTCTGTCTCCTTACAGAGTAGCTTGGGGTCAATCTGCTTCAACTTCATGCTTTTTAGCCTGGTGGGCCCTGCACACCTAGATGAGGAAACGCCGTTCAGTCACGATGAAATCAGACATTTGCAGGCACTTTGTTATTCTGAGCATCAGTTATGGCTTGCGTACCTGTTGAATCACACTATGTCAAACTATTTTTGTGGAATCCCTTACCTGGCATAATTTCCTAGATTACGGTTGCTTGGGACCTGAAGGGTGCGTATGAGACTGTCCATCGGGCAGAGACAATTCCAGGGATTATCATATAGACGTAGGTAGCGAAGGTTTGGCATGGGGATGAGGGCCTCCTCGCTAAGTGTTCCCAGACGGTTGTGCTGCAGCAGCAGGGTTGTAAGGTGTGTCAGGCCCTGGAAGGCCCCTTCCTCCACTAAAAAGATCTGATTCTGCTGCAGGTCCAGACTAGTTAAACTCTCAAATCCAGAGAAGGCATCTTCACGAAGGACTTTGAGCCTATTACGGGCCAGAAGGAGGTGCTTTGGTTGTGCGGACCAGGTCTGCGAGGTGGGAATGGAGGTGAGGCGCCGGTCCTGACAGTCTACGAAGACATCTCTAGATTCTGTCAACTCTGAGCAGTCAGGTGCCACAAGCCTGGAGGGGCCCGATCTGCTGTGACGCCCAACACCTCTCATCCTGACAAAATGAATTCATGGCTTGTCACAGTGTACACGTGGTCATTAGAGGAGGTGATAAAAAGAGTAAATTCATACCTGTCCCGTGTGAGTTTATGTCTGGCTCCTCTGAGACCTCTGCTCTTCCCTGGTCTTTTCATCTCGATGGACGGGAGCAGGAGGAGGAGCAGGGAGGCTAAGAGGAGAGAGGAGGTCACTTGCATCCTGTGCCCTGCAGGGATTGTCTTTTCAGTAAGAAGAGCTGGAGAGAAGTAGGATTTTGGGATACAAATCTTGAGAAAACAGGCTTGGACACAGAAGCAATGGGTCAAAGGTGAGCAGTGTTACTATTGATGGAACACAGCTGCTGCTTAGCCTGAGGAAGAAGAGAGAGGCAGCACATTATGTAAGAGATGGGAGCTGTCCAGGAATGTGTATACGGCTTTGAAAGAAGGCAGAATACTATGACAGAAGTTGTTCCTTACATACTGTCGTATATTACTTTACTATATCACAATTTGCCTATAATATTTATAGCAAAGTATTTCCACTAAAGGTGGACATCATAGTAGTTGGACCAGTTGTTTCTTCTGCTCTTTACTTGCCGTACATTATGTTTTCTTAGGTGAATGCAGAAATCTTCAGGACCTCAATTTGTCAGAGTGTTTTAATGTTACCGTAAGTAAAACATTGTTGAGAATATGATGATACTGTATAGATGAAAAAATCTAAATCTACAAAAATGCATCATCTTCATATCACATGTACCACGTTACTGTTACAATAATGTCTGTAGTCTTGTAGAATGACAACTAGATTGTTGAAATTGATAAATATTGGTCCATTAATAAATCAGTGAAAATGTCCTTTGAAGTTTTACCTGTTTTAGTCATTGTCATTTTTACATAAAACTGTCAAGTCGTTTAAATGTTTGTTAATGCATGTGCATGAGTGTGGTATTCGACTGTGCCATGTACTCTAAGAACAGGGGTCTTGCTGAGAGAACTTAAAGTAACATTTAAATCTCCGCTCTTTAACAGGATACGATGGTTCAGAGAATTGTCGAGGGCTGTCCATGTTTGCTCTACTTGAACCTTTCTTGCACACTTATAACAAACAAAACTCTAAGAGAACTGTCCAGGTAAACCTCCAGTTATGATAAACTGCCATGTCACGAACATTTGTGCTTTAAACTGTGGTCCAGCTCACTCATATCTCCAAATTGAACAAACAAATCCCGCTATGATACTCCTTTCTGGCCCCCTGCCCCTTGGTTCCCAGAAATATCTTTATTTCTGTTTGTAAAGATGTGCTGCTGGCTTGTGAGCAGCTTGGCTGGTGCCAGTTTAATGATAGAGGAACAGATGTGGCACTCATAACATAACGTCTGGACTGTTTGATTACATTGATGATAGATTTGCAGGTTAAACAGATTTCAGTCATTAGCACTCTCCCTCATGGGTACTATGCAAAATACCATGCATGTATTCAAATTTAGACTTTTGTTAAAAAACAACAATAAAACAACCAACTATACAAAAGATTAAACACAAATAAGTTTCCCTCCATTTTGCATATAAACTAATCGAACTATTGCTTTTGAACAGGAATTGTCTCAACCTTCAATACCTGAGTCTGGCGTACTGTAACAGATTCACAGATGAAGGGTTTATGTACCTGACCACTGGGAATGGCTGCCGCAATCTCGTCCACCTCAACTTGTCCGGGTGCACTCAGGTCAGTTGGTATGTTCCCCTCAGTTTGGTATATAGTCAGTCCACTCAGCTGCAACTGTAGAAAGGACACCGTTTTTGCCTTTTGAAAGTTGAGCGTTCAGTCCACCTCAGATAAATCCAGTCGCTCCTCTCTGTTTCCACGTGTTGGAGTTTCTAGCTGTATTCTCGTGACTGTTTGCACTCAGAAGAAAGATCTGAAGGGGAGGGAGAGTAGAAGGCAGCCGTGGCCAAAAGGAGGGCTGGGTTTATCCAATCAGCCCTGGCCCACCCATTCACCATGTGCATGCGACAAAAAACATACTTTTCCTATGGGAATGTGGATTAGTTTGGTTCCAGATGTTTCACTTTATGGGGCCCTGGCAATGTGAGCAGCAAGGAAAATGGCTTCCATGAGAATGATTCAGATTCCAACTCACACATATTTTCCTCTCTCTCCTCCCAGATGACTGTAAATGGGTTCAGATACATTTCTGCCGGATGCCCTTCACTCAGGGAGATTGTGATCAATGACATGCCCACGCTTTCAGATAGCTGTGTCTTGGTACGTTTTTTCCATTTCTAACACATCACTGGTTTCATACAGGGTAAACATCCTAGCCCTGGAATGTCGAACAAAGACACGGACACGGAATAAATTAGGAAAGAATTTTTCGTCAACTCATGCATATTTATTTTGTCAGCACATCCTTTACCCCTGGCAACAGAAAGAGGTGTTGAGTCTTACTCTTTTCTAACAGGCGCTAATTGCCAGATGTCACTGTCTGTCTGCCATTTCTCTGCTGGATGCTCCTCATCTTTCCGACGTTACCTTAAAAGCCATCGCTGAAGTCGCTAAACTGAAGACTTTTAGGACAGAGGGTGAGATCTATTATTATATTATTTCCACATCCACAGAAAAGATAGACATAATTCTGTTCCAGTTCTTCTGTCTGTTCTACACCCCATGTGCACTTTAGGTAACAACCAACTAACAGACGCAGGCTGGAAGGCCCTGTGCAGCAGCTCACACGGCCTCCGCAGACTCCACGCTGCAGAATGCTGCAGAATGACTGATGCCAGCCTCAAATCTGTGGCCAACCTCAAGAACCTGCACAACCTGGACATCTCACTTTGTAACAAGTGTGTTGCTGCTGTAGTTTTATATTCTATGCGTTCTTATGATATTGCGTAATGGGTAGACTGTGTGTATTTCAGGGTGGGTGATACTGGGATCCGGTATCTGACAGAAGGTTCCTCATCCACCAAACTGAGAGAGCTGAATGTCAGTTACTGCAGTCTCATCACAGACACATCTGTAATGAGGATTTCACAAAGGTATATAGTATGACCTCACACACAACACAGACATATCTCATTTGTGGTTTGATAAATAGTCTCTCTCAACAGCTTTTTGTGTTTGTGTGTGTGTGCACAATTAATCAGGTTGTGTAAACTGTACCATCTCGACTTGAGTTATTGTGAGAGACTGACTGATATGAGTCTGGAGTGGGTGAGTGGCAGCTCTATCTGCTCTCTTGACATGAGCGGTTGCAAAATCCAGGATCAGGTATCGTTTCTTACTCTCACAATTTCCTCAATAAAAGAAATACAACTGGCCCTAGTGGAGAATAGTCTGTAACTTTGTATTGGTATTTATAGGGCCTGGCGTCTCTTGAGGGAATTCGCTTGAAGAAGTTAGTTCTTGCCGAATGTGTCTCCGTCACAGATGTTGGCATGGAGGTACAAATCTAGCTAGAATTTCAACACATGGCCAGATGTGGAATTGTTATAAAACAGTTTACAAGTTTACTTCCTTTTATTCTTAGAAAGGAAATTCTTCGAAAAGAAATTCCAAAAAAAAGTCAATCATGTTCACAGTTGTTTCATTTACAGACTGCTAAAAGACGTGAACAGAGGAAGGTGTGTCTTCTTGAAGACATGGTTCGTCTCCGCATTCACTTTCACCCAACACCTCTCTCTTGTCTCTTTTGTTCTTCACGAGGGCAGAAGCTGTGTAAGACTGTGAGAGATCTGGAGTATGTTGATGTGTCTCACTGTGTAGCTCTGTCAGACTCAGCCATCAGAGCGGTTTCATTTTACTGCAGAGGTCTAGTCACGCTGCGGATGTCGGGGTGTCCCAAGGTATCCACACATGGTTACACGCACACTTCTTTGCCTTTAAATGCTCATTTCATGCCAAACGTTTTTTCCCCTCTCTGTCTTGCTTCAGATGACAGATATGGCAGTGCATTATCTGACAAGTGGATCTCAGTACCTGCGAGAACTTGATGTGAGTGGCTGTGTTCTCCTCACAGATCGCAGTCCCCGACACATAAGGAGGGTCTGTCCTCCACTCTGCTCCATCGCGATGGTCTGCTGCAGCAGCATCTCCAGGTAAGACAAAGTTCAGAAGAGCCCTGCAAAGTTAGAATCCTGCACGGCAGCTTTTAATGACCAGAGAGCATTTCTTCCTGTAGGGTGGCCGCTTTAAAGCTTCAGCCACATGTGAAGCACTGGGAGCACAGCAACGACAACCCTCCATACTGGCTTGGATACAACACGGGCCCAATAGTGTCTGCAGTCAGAAGACCCATCAAGACCGAGGAAGTGGCGGAACAGCAGTCAGTGAAGACAAGAGCAGCAAGTACAAAGAGGACATAAAACAGATCTCAATAAGTAATAATATTGTAAAAATACAGCCCATCTTATCACAGTGACCATCATTTTTGGGAGATTATTTCAAAATAATCAAAGAGCCTTTTCAACAAACCATTTTGCATGATACCCACAGAGATGAATGGTTAAAAAAAATCCCAAATCACTGGTTAGTAATCAGATCAAGTCTCACCTGTGTGGATAGCACCGTCAACCCCTTTAAGGACACATTGTATTGTATCAGCTCCTAACAATGCAATGTCCCGTGCTCTTCTGTTTTGAGTTTGATGCAGTATAGATCACTTTATGCTTCTACATAAATTGGTACACATTGTCTTTGACCCTGCTAGGCTCCAGTGGTTTAATAACTCCATGTTAGATAACCGGTGCATAAACATTTGTGATTATTGAATTATATACATACATTAAGGTAGAAAATAAATAAATCAGGGTTTTTGGCCTAGATTATTTCTGACACTGGCTGAGCTGTTTCCACAACTCACTCAGATCACTCTGTGGATGGAAAGTTGGCATCTTTAGCACTGTGACATGACCAACATTGATTTCTATTTATTTAAGAAATGTTACGTTATATATATATATATATATATACATACATACATACATACTGTATATATATAGAGAAGTACAAAGCACTTTAAATTCCAAACTGGTTCAAATTGACTGTATGTATTTGTTTATAAGTCTATGCAGTGTCTGTGCACTGTTGTGTTTTTTCCCCTCTAGAAATATCTTTGTTCATTTATGCTCTTTAAATTAAAAGGCTGTATTATTTTATACTACAATCTTGGTTTATCCTTTGTTTATGTAACACTTTGTAGTTGCATTTCACTTGATTTTATTTTTTTCTGACGTTTGGGACTTACAATTGTTTTTGTATTTACATACCATACAGAGGACATTTAATCGCCGGCGATATTTCTCATTCAAACCATTGACAGTTCATCACAAACCAACACTGGTGTGCAGTCAAATATTATGCTTCCAAAACGCATTGTATGAACAGAATATCTGTTAAATACTATAGATGATACATAAAGTCTTTATTTAAAGTACAGTATATCCTGAGCACAGAGTTGTATATACTGAGGTAAAGTTACATCCAGTCTTGAGCAGCGACAGCATCTGGCTCTGCGAGTGTAAACCTCATATCTCAGCTCCCCAGCTTCAGGGATTCAAACCAGCTTTGTGTTTTCAGTCTGACGGAGTTTCTGTCTGCCTGAGCTTTAACCCACTGGTCAACGGGGGCCTTTCCATTTATATAACCTGAGAGAGAAACAGATCAGGGGGAACGAGAGAAATACAGAAAACTGAACATTCTGTGTTGATTTACTTGTAGGCGTGTTTAGTTAAATTAACTGTGCCATGGAGTGGGATGTAATGAAAAACAACGGCTCACCGGTAACTGTGGTTTGGCCTTCAGCTGTGTTGTTTACTACTCCATGCAGAACAACCTCTGGGCTGATATCCACCGACGTTCCACAGAGCTCCATCGCAGCTTTCAAAGAGGAGGGGACACGCACACACACCGCCCCTACGTACAACAGAAGAACGAGGGATAAACAAAGAAAAACACTCAACAGGAAAGAAAACTGGTGAATATTCTTCTCGTGCTGCACGTTTACCTTCCTGACTGTGGAGTTCAGCACTGCCGCCGTCTCCCACGTACACATCAATGCCTCCGCTGTGAGAGGAAACCTTCAGGAAACTATTCGAACCATCTGCAGAAGTAGAAAAGTGTTTTGGTTTTAACAGCCACTGATAGATGCCATACGTAGTGGATTGCGCAATCACTGGGTCGGCTTGCTCACCAATAACTGTATCTCCAGACACGTTCTTCACAGTGGCGGCACCTTTTTAATAGATTAAAGCACAAGGTCAGTTTTAATTGACATAACTAGCTGTCAGATTATTTACAGTCACTAGTGGGTAAACTACAACATTAATAACTGTTCAAGACTGGAAAATTTAGCAAATAAAAGCCTCGGTCACAGACTGAATCCATCATAAACCTGCATCACTGAAGTTAACAAGATAATTGATTCCATGTATGACGAGAGGCTCGACTGTATCAGGAAGAAATTACAATTTCATGTGGATGATGCATTTTCTTCACTTCACATCAAAGAACTGTTTTGTCTTTGTGATATAATCTCTACCTCCAAGTCTTTATACAAATAACCTGATTCATAGCTACTTCAAAACAAACAAGTACAGAATTTGTGATGAATTCCAACCACATTCCATTCAAAATAGAGTCTGTTTGGATTAGAGCCCAGGATTCCTGACATACCAAAGCCCTGCTTTACAAACCAAGTTAACGTAGTGCAGCTGTGTGTCGCAACGGCTTATGGGCAGTGGAGGTTCTTTTAAAATACGGACCAACTGACAGAGTGAACTACTAGATACAGGTAGCAGATTAATTACAAATAATAGTTTCAATTAGTTTTAAGTGCCGCAGTAGCTCAGATGGTAGAGTGGATCGCCTATTAATTGTTTTGGACAAAAGTGTAATGAATTGAATGCAACATTTTACTTTTGTTTTTTTCCTTCAATACATTTGAGTTTGTCTGCAGCCATCATAAGTACATAAAACAACATAGATGAGGAATAGATGCTGCTGTTTGCTCACCGTGCACATTCCCCAGTTCTACTCTCCCAGAGCAGGAGGAGACGCAGCTGGATTCAGCATATACGGCTTTGACCCTCAGAGGGCCACGTTCTGTTGAAATATTCATTTTGGTACCCTGCAGCTTTTTGACATCAACTCCCTGCAAACAAACAACTAATCACTGCACAGGACTGTAGCCAAGTGATGTATGATGCAACTTATTTTAGTCTCCAAATCAGAGGTGTACCGTAAGCATTCAGATAAAGCCTCTATGCGGCCTGCTGCTGCCCTCTAATGACTGCTGAGTGTACTGTTCTTACACTGTCTCCACATGTGCTGATGGCCACATTGCCGTGGATAGTGCCCACACCTGTAACATGTCCTCCGCGGGACTGGACCTCAACCTGATGAGCCTGAAGAAAATATCACACAATTCTAGTGACACAATCAGTCAAATATCTACAATAACAACATGAATGAATCAAAACCACATACCTTGACAGAGTGCAGCAAACAGTTGCCCTTCTCTGTCTGCACCTTGCAGATATCACACTCCATGTTCTTCACTTGCACGTGTCCTTCTCCTTGAGTAGTAATGAAGAGATCTGATAAAAGAAGAGGACGAAAGACATCAGTAGCAGGAAAACTGCTTAACGCGTGAAATCATGACAATTAATGATCGGCCCTAATGTCGACATCATTGTACTTGTGTCAACAACAGGAGACACTCACTGCTTTTGATAGGTGCAGTCAGATCAATCGACACGCTGCTCTTAACCTTCTCGGCTGAGATGAGCAACTCTTTGCTCTGGTGGTCATAGTGGACGTGGAAGTGATCCAGGCCGACCTCCTGCTCGGTGTCCGTTCCGTGAACTGTGATGAAGGCTCGGTCAGCCTCGGGGTAGGTGTGCAGGTCCAGCGGACGGACGGAGATGCTGCAGCCCAGCTGTGCCCGCACCGTGCTGAAGGGGCTCACCGCCAGAGCCCACTGCTTCAGAGGCGGGTTTACCTCCTCGTGCGTTGGGGACTTCGTGGGGGCAGAGATGGAGAAGGACCGTGAGGTATCCAGAGGGCATCGAGGGGTCGTGGGTGTCCTGGGACCGACTGTGAGGGACCAGCAGCGTAGAAGTCCGACACATCTCGGCCGACCTGCTGAGCTCCAAAACATCTCGATCACCTTCCGGGAAACCAGCTCATCTACACCGCCTGTTTTCAGCTAATAAACAACAACACACTGGCTTACAAACTGCCATTCAGTCAGCATGGACTGTCAGTCTGGTTGTACTGATAGCACAACACTAGCACTTCCGGTACGAGTTTTCAGCGTAAAAGCGTCTGCTACAACTTAGAAAACGTTACTAATAATAAAAAAAAACTAATAAGGTTTAAATATAAAACTAATAAAAAAAATCGATTACTTGGTATTAGTAATTGCTCTTAGATAAAAAGCAATACATTTGAATCTGTAACTATAGTAAAATTACACTACAATATTACAATATTACCAGATAAAAGAAAACAATGAGCAACACGCAATCAAAGTGAAACAGACAGCAATACAAATGTGAATTGTAGTAAAAAAGTTGAGATTTTGGTAAATTTCTGTGTTGAAGCTTAAGTATATATCTAAGCAGGATTTGTTGTAAAGTGTACTTTTTACACTATACTCATATAGTCCTGTTATTGTATAAATTATATAGGTTTAAAAATATTTGTTTCCATCGCCATGAACAGATTCACCTGCTAGAGGGCCCTGAAGTGGCAAAAAACTGTGTTAAAATACTACCTGGTCCCTGGTTTGCTGTGTGATAATTTCAACATAAATGAATAATTTAGAATCTTGCAACATGTAAACACCGCACGGAAATATGAGACTCAAATCTAGACTTGTTTGACACAGTGATCTTCTTTTCGACAGAATCAGAGAATCAGAAACCGTTTATTGCCAATGAATGTTGCACATACAAGGAATCTGTCATGGCGGGTGGTGCATAACATTAACATTAAACAATCAACAACAATCAACACAGTGCGAGAAATAAAAACATATTACAATTTACACTAGAATATAAAAGAATATAAAATAAAGTGCACAACAAACAGATATCAGTACTATAAACAGGTATGATGAAGTGTAATGTTAAAAGGGTCAAGTGTGTTTCAATGAAGAAACAGAGAGGGGATGTGCAGGGGAGTGACCGGTAACAAATTGTACTGGGGATGACAGACTCAGTAGGGGTCCCGGGCTTTGTTGATGAGCCCGACTGCCGCTGGGGAAAAAAAAAAAAAGGGTCATCAAGGTCAACGGGACACCAAGATTAGAAATCATAGCAGAGCTCACTTCATGTCATCGGATCTTGTGCTTTGTAGTGCATTCCCCCGAATAAATAAATACATCTAAGTTGAATTTGCACAAATAATTTGGCAACATTTTGCACACATTAAGCCTGGACCTTTATGGGGCCGTTTTCTGGGGCCGCAGAGCAGTTGCCCGCTTCATCCAGTTGGCATTGCAGTCTTTTACTGACACTACTCATGGCAAGTACTGAGAGCTCTCATTTGCATCCCTTTAGATGGAATAATTGGCCAAAATACCAACAGCCTCTCCCTCAGATTTTTGTGTTATTTTATGTTGACGACAAAATATTTTACTTCCGGTTTTAGTCCGAGACAATTTAATTATCTTGACAAGCCGGATGTACAATCTTGTATAAATTCAGCACCGCCCCTCTTTAAGTCTTGTCCAATCAGTGGGCCTATGTGAGTACCGTCGCAGGTGACGTCGTTGTCTCCGCAAAGGCTGTAGGGAACTTGAGTCTTGAAATATTTCATTCCTCGCGTCCAAAGTTGTAGACCTACTGCATGGGTCAGATTTAAACCTTGATGCTTCAAAATGTGGACTTAACTCTACTTGTTATTGAATTTATTAGTTATTTCGTGGCTCACTTTAGTTTGAAGATAATTTCCACAGAAAGAAGGAGAAAAAAAGGCAAAACTATATTCATATTTTCATCAATTTTATTCATTTTAACAAAACAATCTTAATTACAAAACATCCCACACAGCTTCAATCAACCATCAACTGGCTTTCCAGTACTTCAATAATAATAAAAATATAATTTTCCGTTGCTACGAACCGTCAGATGCACTGAAAAAAACACAAATATATTAATATTAAAATGTTATAAAAAAGTTACAATGCAATTAGGATTATTACCTTTGTAACTGTGTACATCCTCAGTTATTGTCATATTATCCTGTAAACAAATCATTATTGCAGAATCAAACACCACAAGGTGGCAGCATTGTGTTAGTAGTGAACAATAACCATGTGGAAGGTTTACTCAATTGGTTTACTCAAAGGTTTACTCAATTGTAAAGGGCATCTTAGGAATTAATGGTTGAAGTTAGAAGTTAAAACCTCAATGTTTTTTTTTAGTTTTTTCGTTTTTTAACATGCCCTGGTAGAAAGTCAAGGTTCATGGTGCAAAGCTCTTTGGTCGGATCATCATCCTGACAGTTTTAAAAGACTGTCTCTCATTGGTGGGGTAATACCCTGTAGATATGTCATGCCAAGTCCCCCAGAAAATCCCATCCCGGACTCCCTTGTAGCTCCCGACATAGTATCTCCCGTTGAGATTTGCAGCCATGCAGGAATCAAACCACCAGCCGGAGCTGTAGTAGGCCCCACAGTTTCCGGATGGATAGCGGTCGTGGTCTCTGTCCGGTGTGGTGAATGCCCTGTTGTTGTGATCATAACTTTTGCTGAAGCGGAGAGAATCACCTGCAGTACCCGAGTAAGCGCCTACCGTCAGTCTGTAGCGCATCCTTTCACTTGCGACCATGAACTGCTGGTACTCTGCGTACTCCATCACACCGCCAAAGTCCTCCAGCTCCACCCGCAGCACGATATCCCTGTCCCGGGTCAGCAGGTGGATCATGTTGTTGCCCAGCCAAAACTCCCCTCCATCCAGCTCCCCGAAGCCTGATCGGTACTCGGCCCAGGTCCGGTTAAAACTCACGCTGCCGTCCTGTCTGCGTTGCAGGAGCGTCCACCCTCCTGCATCCAGCTCCATGTCACACAGGACCGAAAAGCTTCTACTGCGGAGGTCAGGGGTCACCAGGTACACTCCGCTTTTTGTGCCCCCTCTGAGCAGGTGGTCGGAGCAGTCTCTTGGCATGGTAACTGCAGATAAGGAAAATAGAAAGAAATTACAAAAGATTATGAACAGTCTTTTCTCAAATCTTCCTAAATACATCTTGCCGTTCCTCGTTTAGAAAGTGATCTAACAAATGTCCTGCTTTCACTCATTTCTTTCAGGTGAAAATATCTTGCTGCTTTGATCTATCCTGAAATGTATTGAGTGAGGTCACAGGGCAACAGGTCAGGGCAAGCTACTTTTCCACCATAAAAAGATTGAATGTTTTCAAAGAATTTCAAGGTGGACCTCCAAAGTATATAAACAGACATGATCTAAACCCATGTTTTTTTTTTTAGAGATAAAAGTAAAATGCATAAAAATAACGCCAGTATTTTCAAAGTGATTGTTCGATAAATTAAACACAAATATAACACAACTTTACAGTATGTTTACTGAGACAAGCAACTAATTGAATTGTAGTGTTCATATGCAGCGTAAGAATTCAAGTGTTAAACTGAAGTATCATTAGATTGATTTCATGCCAAATGACTCACTTGCTCTAAGCCATGCTTCACTGAAGGCTGTTTTAAAGCTGTAGGTCTACACACAGTTGTGGTTTTATTCCTAATCACGACACCCACGCAGTCATACATATTTTGCACACATATGTAAAATCCTCCTTGGGCCATGATGTGTGGTACAAAATTGATCTCAGGCATTTATTTATATGTGGTTCTTTAGTGCTTACTGTGTGGTCCTCTTTCTTAAGATCCTTTTAGCTCATGGCATACCAATCTGCTGAGTGAGTAATACAATCATAAGCTGCTAAATACTATTCAAACTGCAGTATACTCTCAGCTAAATTTTTGTAATACAATGTCAACAAAACTCAATCAATTTTTTTTGGTTGTAAATTTCAGAGACTTTAATTGCCTGCCTCCTCTCCTCTCTCTTTGTTAATACATTCCGTGACTGAAAAAGTAACCGTTACAGTATTGGTGCTGCTATAAATGCTAATTATATGCAAGCTTTGTCAATAACAACCACAATCCCTACATAAAGTTGCCTACGTTATGTGGAAATTCAGAGTAGAGCATGCATACAAAAACAAAACTTGATGAAACGTTTCAATAGCGTTAATAATATATCTTGCCTTTAGATGGTTTAAGTGTTGATTGTTTGCTGTCAGGCCTGCTGCCTCCTTGGTTGTCCTCTGGGTGGTCTTTTGGAAGCCTGTCCGGTGGTCTTCCATTTGGACTGTTATTGAAGAAAGCATCCACCTGGTTGATTTTAACACGCAGCTCGCGTGCACTGGGAGTGGAAGACTCAGCAGCTGGGGTCTCGGGGCCAGAGGTGGCAGGGGTTGTTGACCTGAGGTTAGGGCTGATTGTGGAGGTAGTTTGGGCACTGGGGGTAGGGACTGGAATCATCATTTTGTCTGGGTCTTGAAATTTACTAGGTGCTATTTCCTCCACATTGTGAAGTATCATAGCTTGTAAGATGGAGTCAGTATTGGAAGCTTGACTCGGCTTTGTGGATCCTGGACTGGTGCTAGGGATACTCCCACGGATGATTTTGTTTGGTCTTGTTGTCATTGGGATCGATGGTGGTCGACCGGCTGTTTGTGGCCTCAGATCAGACGTAGTCCTGCTGTTTGAGGTCTTTGGACCCAGAGTGGTAGTTTTCATCATGCTGGGACTCAACTCTGCATCGCCTGGGGAACGACTGACTTCAGCAGTCCTTGTTACAGAGCCAGGTGCAGGTGGCACGTCAGTTTGAGAGCTTTGGATGTCATCTGAAGTTGTCCCGCTGATTTGAGGAGGACCTAAATCTGTTTTGGTCTTTAGACTTGGCTTTAGTTGCACTGCTGTTTTTGGCCTTTGGACAGGTGTTGCTCCTGGCCTGACTGTAGCCCTGGTTGATGGCCTGCGCCTGGGTGGAGGCCTCGGTTTGGATGTTTTGTTGGATTCTGCTTCAGGAATTTCGTCAGGCACATATTTGGGCTTAAGATCACGCATTTGGTCAGGCCGAGGTGATCCAAGCCCTTGATTGGTTTCTGGTGTTTGTTCAGGTTTAAGCTTTGCCTTTGGTTTAGTCTTTTGGTCTGTTAGAAGCTCTGGATGTTTTTGGTTAAGTTTAGGCTTTTGGTTTATTTTAGGTACGTTTTGGCTGGGTTTAGGCTTTTGATCAGGAGGTTTGATTAGGGCATGATCAGGTGTAAGCTTTTGTCCAGGTGTTGAGTCTTTGACAGATTTAGGCTCAGGCAAAGGATTTTCATCAGAATTTTCCATTGATTCTGTTTTAGGCTTTTGGGTAGATTTTGGAGTGGTGATAGTTTTTTCTCTTCTTTCGGGCTTTTGAACAGATGTGAAATATTGGTTTGTTGTTGACCTTTGATCAGGTTGAGTTTTTGCTTCACTTTTCGTTTTTTTGGGAGGTTTTTCTGTTTGGTCACGCTTGTCGGTTTTGAGAGGATGAACTGGCTTTTTCTTAGGTTTTGAGTTTTGATTAATTTCGGAGATTTCAACAACTGGCTGTCGGTCAGTTTGAGGGTCAGAGCCCGTTGGTCTTTGATGAGATGTGGTCCTCTGAACAGAAGACACTATAGGCTTTAGATGAGATTTTGGCTTTTGAATAAGTAACTGGCTTTGATCAGTTGTATGTTCTTGGTCATATTTCGGTGTTTGATTTTTTTTCAGATCTTGATCAGTTGGTAAATGATCAGGTAGAGGTCTTAGTTCAGGTTTTGGAATCTGGACTTGTTTAGGACCTTTGCCAGGTTTCAATTTTTGGTTAGAAGATTTCTGCTTTTGGTCATGTTTAGTTTTTTTGTCAGGCAATGAGGCTCGGTCAGGTTTACGGTGATTCTTAGGATTTTTAAGCTTTTGGTCTGCTTTAGACATAATTACAGGTTTATGCTTGTCACCTTGCTTTGGTCCTTGGCCTGGTAGAAGATTCACGTCCGTCTTAGTGTTTGAGCTGCTGTTCTTTTTAGCTGTCCATCGGCTGTGGACTGCAACTCCTGGAAATGCAGTTGTGTATAAACTCTGTCGAGGAGTCTTGGCGGTGGTTGTTGTTGCCGTAGTTGAGCTAACCCGAACATGGAAGCCCGCCCCAGGTCTTGCACTGGTTGTAGAGTTGAATCTTTTAATGGCACTGGTTATCTGTAGTTTAGGACCACCCAGTGTGTTTATTGTGGCTGTTGTTGTTAGCTTACTTGTGGTCCTAAAGCCTTCCCCTGAAACAAGGCTTGGGTGCTCAGAAATGCCAGCTGCTCCTGGGCCTGTGCTTTGGGTTGGTAGTCTGTCAACAACTTTTGTCATTCCTTGATTGACATCTGTGATCAAATTTGAAGTAGAGCTGGACAAAGGAGGAGGTGGAAAAGATGATGTAAAGGTTATCGCTTCGTTTGAGTCCATGGAGTCAGGCCTCGGAGCTAAACTAATAATAGAGTGAAGAGTCGGGCTGATTGAAACAAAGCCTGTCCTCTCAGTTGCTTTGCTGGATACTAATTCTCCATCACTGTCTCTCTGTACACTCTGGACCCTTTTTTCTCTTTCTGTTTTGATCTCCGTTCCTATCTCCCCGTCCTCCACCTCCCCCACGTTAATAGTCTTTTCTGCACGCCCAATACTTTCAGTCTGCTTTGGTTTCTCATTATTTCGCTCCACTTTTATTTCCATTTCCTTTTTCCTCTCCTCCCCGTCCTGCTCTTTCAGCTTATTTGTATTCTTATCATGGCCCTCAGACATCTTTATTCCATCACTGCCCCTGTCTTCTTCAGTTTGGGTCTTTTTCTCTGTTTCCCTTCTTTCATCTCGCCATATGTGATGGTCACTTTCTTCAGTTTTCTCCTCATTTTTTACATTACTTGTACTTTTCCTCTTTTTTCCATTCTCCACTGTATCATCTGGATCTCCCTTTGAATTCCTTTTTCCATCTTTGTCTTTGTCCGTCTCCCTGTTATTTTTTTCAACAACCATTTTTCTGACAATATCCACTATTCTCTCATTTCCAGCAGAGGTTGGCACCTTTGCCTGCCCCAGTTTGTCTTTTCCTTTTGCACCCTCTGTCTTTGTTTTTGCATCTTTTTCTGACACTTCTCTTAGGGGGTTTTCTCTCTCAGTTTCTTTTACGACCTCTTTATCGCTCTCTTTCTCTGCTTCCCATATCTTTCTCTCTCTCTCTTCCAATATTGTTCTTTTTTCTGAATCAGTGTCACTATTTCCTGCCATAGTCTTTTCCACTTTAACACCGTCTGTCCCACACTCCTGGCTGAAATCTTTTGGCCTGTCAGATTTTCTCTCATTCGGCCAGTTCATGTCATCCTTTTGTCTATCTGTTCCCTCATTCAGCTTTACATGCTCTCCTTCTCTTTGCCCTCCACACTCTCTCACAGTTTGGCTTACTGTACAATCTGCACACATCTTCCTCAGTTGGTCCACATTGTCCTTCAGCTTCTGCAAATCCTTCACAATCTTCTCCAGCTCTCTGAGCTGCTTTGGCAAATGGAGAGTCAGTGGCGGCAGACTGAATTGGTATGGGCACATGCTCTCATCCTTCCCCTGTCTGCACGGCCCCTCGGGTCTCAGAGTTGCAGCACAAGGTCCAAATCCATGATCCCCCAGGAGTTCTCCTTCATCAGAGTCTGCTGTGGTCGCAGACAGGCTCGAGAGGGCCAGCAGGGTCCCGCATATGCACAGTGCTGGTAACCTCATCGTGTCTTGAGAGTAAAGAGTGAAAGGATAAGAGGGAAAGAGTGTAAAAAAGACCCGCCTCAGTTTGAGACAGTGACAGTGAGAGGAGTAGGTAAGGTGGGAGGGAGAAGAGGAGGGAGGGGGAACTGATTGAGCTGTTCAGTGGAAAGTGAGTCTGAGAGAGAAACGAGGAGGGAGAAGCTTTGAGAGGGAAACAGCTGAAAAAAAGCAATAGTGAGAGGAGGATTGTGTGGATGTACTCCTCAGTAGACGGTCTCAGTGAGACAGTGGACGGTAAGTATGAAGCATGAGGAAGTGGTATATTAATTCTTCTTTATGATATAAGCAGAATTAGCCTTTAACAGTCACAATATAGATTCAACTATGAAAGCTATAAACATGTCTTATTGTAATCCTATTATTACATTCCATTGTATCTTCACTGTAATCACATCACTTAATGAAGGCCATTTGTAATGCATTCTCACGCCATGATGCACTGATATTGTAAGTGCATCATGGCCATGACTATGCACAGTTGCTGTGGCAGGCACTTCCCAAACTTCCTGTCGGCTCCACAAACATGTGAGGGACAGATGCCACAGGTCAAAACATGCATCTGAAGCAAAATATTAGCTGCCAGGTCAGAGCCAAGAGTTTGTTACTCAGATTTGTAGAGACATATTTCATTTTACTGTAAGCTGCATGGTTTAGTTGAGCTTCTGAATAATGAAAGTCAGGAATGTCAGATTTATCCAAGAAGGTCGTTTGATTCAAATTTCATGCCAGGGGAGAGAAATATCTCATGTGCTATTGACTTTATTCTGACAGTACTAATCCGCAACAAGTGTTGAGAATTGGTGAGGCAATCTCTGAATCTCTGGTTGGGGAGACTAAGCTCGCTGTGTGCAGACTGTCCGTTCATCCCAAGATTTTGATTCTTTGCTAATTCATTGTCTCTACATCAGAAAAAAAGAAAGAGAGAAACCACAGTCACATGAACTAAATGAGGCATCTGCTTGGCAGGGAGTTTAGATAATGAGGCTTTAGTTTCTCAGACTCAGGGTGTAAATGTCAGTCCTACCACAGGATAGGAGATATGAGTGATTGTATGCAATGCCAGTGTTTGATGTTTCAGAAATGTGTGCATTTTGAATAGTTATTAGTCCACTTAAATTGTCTTATTTTTAGACTGCGATGAAACGTGACCCTTGTACATTCTTGTTCTCCGTCTCTTTCATTGGCCGGTTGCTCTGACTGCACTAAGCTGGAGAGATTTCTCAGCTGTTCTCTGATAATGACAAAGGAAACCATTTGTTTAGCCAGAGGACTGTGGGAAGCATCAGGTTAGAGACGAAAAACGAGTGAAGGTGGAAGAAAACTCAACAAAGAACAGCCATGTCCTGCAAGTTGCGTCTGGAGAAACGGCATAACAACTTAAAATGTAACAGTTTGAGAGTCAAAGAAAAGGATTCAATCATTTCAGTTTTTTAACCTGGAAAAGAGGCTGTATGTTTCAACCAGACAATATAGAGGCCTTGTAATCTGTGCATATAAAGAGGGTAACCAGCTATCAAAGCATACTATATGACTTTACATTGAAAGTCCTTCTGTGCTAATGCACCTATGAGCTCATTTGACATTGAAAATGAATGGCAGGAGAAAAGCCGAGAATGAGTGTCCTTTCACCTTTCACAGTCACTTCAGTTCTTCAACACTTACACTGGGAAATAGTGTGAGAGAAATGTTTACACTCTCGAGAGACTTCTGTCTGAACACTAGGCTGTATTGATTTATTATCATAGAGCCACATCTTTTACAGCACAGCCAAGCATACATCTCAGACAGTCGTTGCTTAGCCACAACAAACTAACAATAATGATTAATGCAGTTGATTGAGGCTAGGAGAGTCAGTTATTTTGATAGTTGCCAATCTAAATTAATCCATTTTGTTCTGCGGAGTACTGCTAGGAACTCTATTATTCCCAATAATACCCTCACTACTGAATTTACCCATTTATGGACAGCTGCTTTTTACTCCTAAGGGTGCCCCCTTGGGATAAAGTGTTTTTGAATTCCCCCAGTGAGCTGGCTTGGCCCACTCTCGTTCCTGGATCGTGTAAACACTGTGGTTTTTTCCATGCAGACTAGAACAAACATCTGACCATCAGTCCTGCTTAGCTGCCTGGGCTTCCTGGCAGACCACTTCATCTCCCTCCACTTTGGGCAGAGGAGCCAGTGTCGTCGGTCATGTCTGTTATGTGCATAAGTGTACCCTTTCCAACTGAACTGGAGTGAACCCAACGACTGTCGTAGTGCAGTGCCAGTCCCTTGTAATACCACAATCTGCCTGCTTGAAGGTACTATAAACCAACCTGGTCAATATTATTCTTCTGACTCCCTGTTTGCATGCCAAGAACAAATAAACATATATTAATTTGGCAAAATAGTTGTCATACAACACCTGCCTTAATCCTGTAGATCAGTGTGTATCAGTTTGAAATTAAACACCTCGACTCTTTGGTACTCCATGTGTCACACACACACACACACACACACACACACACACCAACACATATATTGCCAATATCTTAATTCTTTCAGTAACTGATACATTATTTTGCCATATGTGAGAATATTTTTCATCTGTCAATCGACCAATAGAGATTCTTAAAAATGAAACGACCAAAGTGTCTCTCACATCTGGGCTGGATTTTCTACAGCTAGCCAACACCAGATAACGTCAGGTCAATTTGTCTCTAATCGAAAAGCCTGCACTTCATTTATTCAAAATTTATATTAAAGAATCTTTGTGTAGATGAAGGATATGGAAAGCGTGGTAACGTGGGAATGAGTTATTTGCTGCTGTCATCTTCTGCCCGAGGGAAGTTGACTCTGAGATGAAAGTTGATGTATTTGTGACCCTGGCATGCACGAGATAAAGGCAAGAATTATTTTTTATTTTTTAGCTTTATTGTCATGAACTTTTCATATAGTCAGTTGCCATACAGGCATTAGATTTAAGCTGTTGGCTTTTTCATCATATCCTATCCTGATGTTCATACTGAATGGATGTGTGCTGCACTCTGTGTATTTCACAGCTGTGATTAATAGAAACCATGCATAATACACTGTACATGTAAATGCACAGAAATGTGTGACTGAGTTAATCATTTGTTTCCTTTTCTCTGGACCAATTCTACATCAATATTTAAAGGAGATTTTAGGCTGATAAAAGTATTTACTTTGCATTGACAATTCTTTTTAGAATACTGAAGGTCAAGGTGGAGGAAGGTATTCAGATACTAATACCACATTGTAAAATGTACTTCAGATACAGTATGTACTTAAATAAATGCACTTTCCACCACGTCTGAAGGTGCTAAAAACGGTTATTCTGTCTGCACTGCCTTTTGAACCTAAAATAACCTTTACTTTATTATTCTGCAAACTGTGTTGTCTTCTCTGTGGTTACTGTTTAAGTGTCAGTGCTGAATGTAACATTCACCCGACGAACAATTTGGGTCACAAGAAATAAACAAATGTCATTTTAGAGTAAGCTAATGTCAGCGCTGATGAACGCTGTGTACACAATCTCTTTGGCAGATTAAGACTTCTACTTTAGTGGCAACAGATACAGACAAGAGGAGCATATGAATAGATGTGGACTGAGAGAGAGGACCATTTGACTGAACGGTTGAGAGAAATGTAATTTTCCACTACTTTGCAGGACTTGTTTCTCTTTTCTGCCATAATAAAAATGTAATTTTCACCCAATATAAGTATGTTTAGGAATTATATTGACGTGTTAATCACAAAATGTTGACTTTAAGTGAATAATAGTACTCCGATTTTGGATGTGGTAAAAGTAGTGACCACATGTTGTGCAACAGAAATTGGTATGTTTTCAATTGACCCCTCCCAACATTTGCGAATGTTTTTTACAGAAGCTGTAATAACGGCCGTGAGGGTCAGTAGATGTGATGATTTTCACAGAGCTGATAAAAAAACGCCCCACATTGAATTTCCATCATTATACTGCCACCTAGTGACATTTTAAAGAATCATCTCAGAATACAAATTCATTCTATTTCAACTACTTTAGACTTGAACTTTAAAACATATACTATATATGCTTTCTTGTAACAGATGGAAATTTGACACTATTATCTCAAAAACACTGTGCACCACTGTTATAAATATCTAAACTAGTTTAATGAGGATTTGTGATTTAAAGACACTTTTTTAAAAGCTCATCAGGAAATTATAAACATATGCAAACATTTTTGTAATGTACCAACTCTCTTTAGTAATTAATACCAATATATGCATCTACAAATTAGGTTTATATGTTTAGGCTTTTTTTTAGAACATGGTGAACTTACTGATGCATTTGTTGTAAAATTATTAAATACTTAATATTTTTGTTTATGGCAGTAAAATAGAACCATTCATTGGGTGCAACAGTGTAACCATCACACACAATTATCACACAATCAAGGAAGTTTCTTCTCTGATCCATATTTTCCTTTTAATTTCTGTTTTGTCATACAGTATGTTGTAGGCTACAGATTGTAAAGCCCTCTTTGGCCTATTTTAAGTTATTTATTATTTAGTTATTTAGGAGCAGCATGTTGGGAATAAAAATCTTAAGTTGAATGCTCCATCCTAAATACATATGTATAAAAAAGAATATAACGCAAGTATTAAGCAAAATGAGAGTCTAAACATAAGAGTACCAATAAAAATAACTATAAAATAAAGTAAAACAATAAAAAGATGTGAAGAAGAGTCAGAGACATGGCAGCCAACCTCAGCGCAATCTTACTATGACAAAAATAAATTATTGTAAGTCTAGTCAGCATTGTTTTTTATAAATATTCCCAAGAACCAAAAAACGTTCTAATGAAACGAGATGATTCAACTTTAAATCCGTGTGTATTTTTTCAAAAATAAGAATTGTTACTTAGAATTCTGCAACATGTCCGTGTTTTTCCTGCATGTTTGATAACTGAGACTGATTGTCCAGCCCAGACAGAGCAGAAGTGACTGTATCGAGATGATGAATGCCGTCTTGTGTCAGTGGACCTCCTCTGTCCTCTGGTGATGGTGCAGCAGCTCTACAGTGAGCGGTACAGTACTGTGTGTTGTCCTGCAGGCTGTAAACAGACGCTACGTGCGTCGTCACGTAGCCCGTAAGCCCCGCCCCCGGCCTGGCTCTCACGCACCAGTTACGTCTGACTGTAAAAAATAGAAACTTCCAAGATGGCCGAGGCCGTGGACTCCATGCATTTCGCAGCAAACAGCAAAACAAATTCCCCTAAACCCCTGATAGCCAAACGACCGCCGGAGAGCCGACCGCAGTGTTCCAGCGACATCTACCCACCGCCCCCTAAGAAGGTCCGCGTGGAGGAGAAGGGCCTGAAGCACAGGAAACTGAACGGAGAGGTGTGCGCAGGGGAAAAACACAACGGGAAGCAGAGTTGTGGGAGCCCAGCGAAATGGAGTTTCGGCCCGGCCAAGGCGAGCCACTCCGCCGCCACCGCGGTCCCAGCTACTCCCGCTCGGAAAATCTTCAAAATCAGCAACTTCCTCGCGTCGCCTCACAAAACGAAAAAGGCGAAAGAGAAACGGCACAAGGAGAAGGAGAAAAGCACCGAGGCGCAGCGGAGCTCCGCCGCTGGTGTGGAGAGAGTGAGCCCAGCTAGCTGCCATACAAAGACCGAGAACGGCGACGTGAAAATGCTACAGAGAGGTAGGGCAACACAGACGGCTCGCTGCTCTGTCAAACCACTTCGTGGGCACATTTAAAACTCTGCGTGAGTAATACTGCAATGAAGCGATTGAGTACATGATTACATAATGCCCCCTACCACAGGCCCCAGTATCTATTAGGCCCAGATGGTGATGTATACACGTGGAAATGTTTGTTCGTCTGTTATGTTGCTCAGCATGGATGTTTAGCGGCAGGTCTCCTCTTCTTCTGCTCCTCTCAGATCACCACGTGAAGGAGAAGGACGGAGAGAAGAAGAAGGAAAAGAGCAAAGAGTGGAAGAATCACACGCTGACACCTGTAACGTTACATGACTTTGCAAGAGAAAACGGAGAAGTGATGTCTCCACAGAAAGGTAGGAGTGACACGTGACGCCGATCAGTTGGGATGAGAAGCATTGTTTTCATTATTTTGGGATAACTTTGAATTAAATGAGTCCTTTAAAGAAGGTGATGTTAGAGCTGTGGCTGAGGCCCTTTGCTCGAGTCATCTCTGATTGTAGAAAATTAGTCCAATATGGTTAAATATCCAATTTATAAGTGTCAGAAGTTTGAATGAACTCTTGATTTTAAGAGGGAAACTTGGCATTAATTGATAACCATGCATTACAGTTACACTCACCACGACTCAAAGTTGTCAAAGTTCACATCTAATCTGAAGTATATAAAATAGATGCCTCACATGATGCTCAACATTGTACTAACTGTATAAATGTCTTCTCCACCATTGCAGAGTCTAAGGAGAAGCCCAAATCTGGGTCTGAAGAAGACCTCCTGCTGAAGAAACTCAAGAAGAAGAAGAAAAAGAAGCACAAAGATGGAGAGCGAGTGAAGGAGAGGCACGGCCGACCCAAAATGTACCATCGCTCCTGCCAGACAGTGTGTTCAGGAGTGTCTCTGGGTCCGCCTGAGTTCCTCAGTCGAATTAATGGGAACAGCAGCAGTCTACTCCACACCTCCGCAGCACCACCACCACCACCACAACAACAACACCACCACCACCTCCACCAGGACCCTCCTGTTACTGCCGCTATTTCTGCCTCCATCTCCTCCATGGTCAGGGAAAGACTCGGCTATAGTTCCCCTCTCCACTGCGCCCCGGCCCCGGGCCTGTCGGGTCTGGAGTTCGGTCGTCTGATCCACATCGAGCAGCAGGCCAACGGAGGAGCGTCCGTGGCGCACGCCTACACCGAGCAGCTCTCCGGTCTGTCTCCGGCTGAGATGCAGCGGTTCGCCCAGGAGTTTGTGACCCTGTCGTTCAGCGAGGACGAGGCCCAGGCCGCGTGTTTTGTGATGGGAATCATCCACGGGGCGGCATCCTACCTCCCAGACTTCCTGGACTACTTCTCCTACAATTTCCCCAATGCGCCAGTAAAGATGGAGGTGCTCGGGAAGAAGGACATAGAGACGACGACCATGGTCAACTTCTACTCTCAGGTAAGATTGTTCTTTGTGTTGTTGTTCCTCTCTTCAGCAGATAACATGGTTTAAAGCTCTGTGTGTGAGAGGATGCTGAACTGTCCACACTGAAGTGTTTCAGTTTGTAGTCTGAAGGTGTGAGCAGCACAGACTCAACTGCTACAGCCTGAAACAACACGGTAACACTTTTTTCTGTGTCTTTTGAAGCTTTCTGTGCGTCAGTCTGTTGATGGACAGAGCTTTCCTCTCTGCCTCGGGTCGTCTTCACTGGTTTCAAAGAGTTTCAGCGTCCAGGTTGTTTACTGGAGCAGAAAGCCCGTGTGTGTGTGTGTGTGTGTGTGTGTGTGTGTGTGTGTGTGAGAGAGACGTTGTTTGCCAATTTACATAATGGTTTCTTGATGGGGATTACGACAGGCAGCAGCAGCATTTGAGATGTTTCGTGGTAACTCTGGTTTGGTTCGTGTTGTCTCTTGTCTATATCTATTTTCAAGTAAGTCATTTGAAAAGAACAACCGTCAACTTCTTTTCAAATGAAAACTACGGCTACGTTTTCGTTCAAAACGAGAACGATCTCCGTCCACGCGGCGTTTCAGCATCATTTGCAAAATGTTTTCCGTCCAGACTAACACGCCTGAAAGCGAATATCACGTGACTCTTCACGTACACGTGGGTGCTGCTATAACCAATCAACAGGAAGTTGATTGGTTACAGAAAATACAACAGAGTTTTATAGTAGTCTTTAATAATGAAAGGTCGTGCTTGATACTTAAGATCTTCTCTAAAATCTTCCTCTATAAACTCAGACGGACACATTTCGTGGAAAGTTTCATAAGTTTTATTTTTCAGTCTTAGTTTCATGGCTGCAGGTCTTGCTCTCACTCACACATCAAATTGACTTAAAATGAACACTTGCACATCAAAGTTGACTGGATTATGGGTCCATAAATGTGGTCAACACATGTCTCTCACTCGTTTCCTCTCTGTTTTGTCTCTGTTCTTACACTCTGCTGCTGAAGTCTCTGTCGTACTGGAGAGCCTTTATGCTTTTGATCCTTTACAGTTAATGTGTGGACTTCACAATAGTTGTGCAGAACAAAATAAGCATCAATAAATAAAGGAAAGTCCTCCGTTGTCTGTCTGTCGTCCTCCTCAAAGCCGCTAACTGTGACTTCAGACTTCCGCTCCGTAGGACTGACGCCGCCGCTGGACACCCCGCTCACTAGTCGCTCCAGTAACAGCTGCTTCCTCCGCATGTCGGCAGTAGTAGAATTATAAAATGCAGAATTTAACTTCACAACAGCTGCTAGTGAAGACAACAAGGCCAGTAATGCCTGTAATCAGTTGTCCATGTTGAATTAACCTGGTAGTAAGTGATAAACAAGGCTGTTGTTGTTTTTCTTTAAGAAAAGGGTCACGTGATAGGGGCGCGACGAATCACTGCAAAGACCCAATCAAGTAGCGAACGCGGCGTTTACGTCATCGTTTTAAAACATATGCGTTTACACTCGTCCACTCTAGGAGGTAACCCCGGAGGTTTCAAACGTAAACTTCCTCGGCCTAGTGTGGCCGCTCAGTGTAAACGTAGCAACATGTATGCGTTTTAAAATGGAAACGTAGTAGTGTGGACATGTTAGAAATCTAATCACTGAGGCAGCAGTTAGTTGAATTATATTTCAAGTGAGAAATAATGTCCACCCTACACCTTAATCAGTTTTATCTCACATCCTTTGAACATGTTTTTAGAAATGAAGAGTTAATTTAGGACAGGAAGACTTGATTAGTTTCATCCTGTTGCTGTTATCAGGAAAAAACTAACCCGATAGAACTGTCGGCATATTTTCTTAATTTTGTCCGTAGCGTCACTTGATGACATGGACAGTGTTGAAGCAGCAGCGTTCATCGCCCCTCGAGTTGTGAGTGAGTGACTCATGACTGTTTGCTCTTCAATCGATCGAGAAAGTTTCTACTCGCACTAAGCCAACGTGTGCAAGTAACGGATGCACGATTATATGCATTCATTCCACAGCTTGGCCCAAGAGCCGAAAATACGCAACAATTTAATAATTTTTCTAAAAGTGTTTTGTTCCTGTGGGCGATGAGTCACAGACCCCGGGGGTCTTTTCTCACTTTGAGAATCACAGTTTTGAAGTCTTGTGATGCTGCAGCCTGTTTTTGTTTTTTCTATTTTTATGTTGAGTCAAGTCAAGTACACTTGGAGAGAGGATATAGCAAAATGTACTATATATTTTGTTAAATAAAAGGTAAAAAAGTACTGTTTCTTTTGCTGTATATCGGGCAAACGTGCAACTGGAGGTCTGGTGGTCGTTACTGAGTGAACGCCATGTGTTAGGTGTCCATGCTCTCTTTGTTTACGGTCCTGACATAGGTTTGATGTTTAGTTCGGCTTCTAAATCTTCTGTTGGAAAAGGATTGTCAATAGTTGAACAGTGCTGTGCTGGTCTAGTCAATTATTTTTAAGTCACCAACACCAGAATAGATGAAATATGGATTGGTTTTAAAATTCAAACTTTTTTTCAATTATAAAAAAAGACTTTCTGCCACACTTTTGGGGATTTGTCCTATGCTAACATTTAGACTTGGAAGTCTTGCAAGAAATGAGTATATTCTGCTCTAAAGAACTGATTTTATGAACACATTGGCAGTTGTTAAATAAAAACGTACAGGGCCTATTAATTCAGTCAGCATCTGGTGTCATTATCTATCGTTAAAAGGCCAACACATCCTCCTGCTCCCACTGTGTGATGCACCCTTAAAACACAGGTCGTCATTTGGTTTCTGTTCGTATTCTCTATATTCTTGCTTGTAATTCCAAAATGTTTAACATTGTGACACTGCTGCACCTGTCTTTATAGATTTGTTCATAGTAAGTCATATTTAATACAACAAGTGGACATATCGTACATTAACATCTTGTGTACTTCCCCCACACAGTTTTTTTAACATTCAAAGCTTCCATTTTGGTTTTTCGAATCAAGCCTCGAATGCCTGTCATCATATTTGATGACGTCATCACCCTTAAAAAAAATCCTAAATTTGAATAAAATGATTCAATAGTTGAAATGAGTTGGTCTTTTTCATTAAATCAACTGTCTTTAATGAATATTACTCATCAGTTTCGTCAACATAAATGCTCGTAGGTTCAGACTCGCTGTGTGTGTGTGTGTGTGTGTTAGAGAGTCAGAGGAGAAGGTGGACTGTTACTGTAAGTTATTAAACTTAATTAATTAAAACTCACTTGGAGCGATGCTTTATCACCTAAATCCGTGATTGTATATTGTATATTACTCATATTAGTGGAGCTTAATCTTAATCTGCAACTGTGCAGAAATACGGTGTTTAAACAGAATGATGACATGAATCACGAATGAATGAAGCTTTGAACTATTGAGTTCATTTGTTATATGTTGCAGAAAGAAAACATTCAAGCACCAAAATGATCAGTGTTGAATTCCCCCTGATTGTGACGCATATTAAAGGTTTATAAATTGTTCTGCTTCATGAGAGCTCATTCACAATGTTCAAGTGGACACTTAGATGTTGACGTTTGTTCAGTAAAGTCTTCCCTTAATGTCTGCTGAGGGACTCGTGAACCTGAGTCCTGATTTAGTCATCAGTAGTTCTGGTTGTCTAGATTTGATAGTGGACTCTACAGTGCTTGAACATTTTATTTGGGTTTCCACAAATGTCTCTGTAAAGCACTCTTTCATTCCTCAGTAACAATAGCTTGCCTTTTTATTTGTCGTGTGTTGACATTTTCCTCTCTTGATGACTGAACTCTTTGTATTTAAGCTCCTGTTAAATACCACGCAGAGTGCTTTGTTAAAGGCAGGTGCAGTGGAAAGGTCTCACCAACTATGTTAAGACCACACAGACGGTGCTAGTCTCATAGCTGGCACTAAAGTACACGTCTGAGTGGGATATTTTGATACCTGCCGGGCGAGGGACTAATCTGTCTTCTCTGTGCTCCCTCATGCAGGTGAAGCGGACTTATTCCCAGGGAACGTACCGTGCCGGGGCCATGCGGCAGGTCAGTCTGGTCGGTGCTGTGGACGAAGAGGTTGGAGACTACTTCCCCGAGTTCATCAACATGTTAGAGGATTCTCCCTTTCTGGAGGTGAGTGTGTTTGTTATCTCTGCATGTGTGTACACACACACCCCATGAATCTTCTCCCCATGAATGGTGACAACTCATTATTTAACGCAAACTTTCTCGCCCTATGTTTCTGCAGCGGACTCTGCCCTGGGGAACGTTCTCCAGTCTACGGCTGCAGAGCCACACCGAGAGCGATGACGGCCCCATAATGTGGGTCAGACCGGGAGAACAGATGATCCCTATGGCAGACATGCCAAAATCACCCTTCAAAAGGAAAAGGTGGGTTGACACATTGAGTCTGTAAATGTGAGCCAGTGCACAGCTGTTGTCGTCTTGCCTGCATCTTAGTTTTCTAAAGAATTAGTTTGAAGTAAAGCTCATGAAGCTAAACGAGTGAACTACTTTCAGCTCAACGTGCCATGTACAGGTACTTCACCATATCCTGACGGTTGTGAATGAATGAATTTCAGGTCCACCAATGAGATAAAGAACCTGCAGTATCTACCCAGAGCCAGTGAGCCCAGGGAGATGCTGTTTGAGGACCGGACGAGAGCCCACGCTGACCACATCGGTCAGGGGTTTGAGAGGCAAACTACTGCTGCCGTCGGTGTGCTGAAGGCTGTCCGCTGCGGAGAGGAGTGAGTACACAGTGACATCTGTTTACCTTATCGCATACAGTACACACACACACACACGTTTGTATTAAATACCTCAGATTAGTAAACAAGACTTTACATGTTGCCTTGTAGCAGTGATGCTCCCGGACGGATCACCAAAGATGTTGTGTGTTTCCACGCTGGAGATTTCCCAGATGTGGTCATGAGGCTGCAGCTGGACCTCCACGAACCTCCGCTGTCTCAGGTGGGTCAGTTAATCATGCCTAGTATGATACAGTGGTATGAATAGGTTTTTTTTTTTTCTGCTGCTGCTTATGAGATCAAATGTCAAACATAAGAGCATTTAGCTGCTAAAGAGAAATATATTCCTCCCAGGAGACCAAAAACAGAGCTTGGAGGGTGACTATTAGATTTACAAGAAACCCTAACCTGCTGGATGTGTAAATATGCTCACCATATCAACTTTATATGGTGATAACATGTCAAAGTTGTTTGACATGTCAAAGTGTACAAAAAAGTAAAGAAATGCAGCTTTAAGTGTTTCTTTATCTCTGACATGCCACGTTGTCTCTTAGTAATCAACTGTCAGCCTGTGCAATACATGATCACACTCAGTATTTATTTTCGTTCTAGCATGAAATAATTAAACCATTCGCTCATTTTATTGAGGGATTACTAAATCTCCTGTGTTCACTGCCTCTACAGTGTGTACAGTGGATCGATGATGCCAAGCTGAACCAGCTGAGGAGGGAGGGGATCCGATACGCCCGAATCCAGCTCTACCACGATGATATCTACTTCATTCCCAGAGGAGTTGTCCACCAGTTCAAAACCGTGTCCGCTGTCTGCAGTCTGGCCTGGCACATTAGACTCAAACAGTATCACCAACACGAAGCGAAGGAGGAGGAAGACAAGTGTGCACCTAGAGAAGAAACGCTTCATATCAAAGAAGAGGAGGAAGACGAAGATGAGGAGGTTGAGAGGAGGGAGTGTCAGCCTGCTGTACGGATGCTGATGAAGCTGGAGGATGAGGACAACGAGGAAGAGGAAGGGCCGCCCTCACACACTCCGACACAGATTTTCAAGGAGGAAGAGAGCAGAGCCGAGCTAAAGGGGTTGTCGACGACACAGTCTGGACCTTTCGTCAAGAAGGAGAGAGATGAAGGTGTTCTCACTCACACACTCATGGAGCCTAAACCCGAGGAAGAAGAGAAAGAGGAAGGAGGGGGAGGGGGAGGTGCAGACACATGCCAGACACTGCAGAAGGGCCATGAGGAGGGTGCAATGGACAGTTCGTCCTTAAAGTCACTACAGCAGATTAGGAGGGAGAGTGATGTGGAGGAAGAGAGGCAGCAAAAGACAACTGTACCAGGTCAAGGTGTAAAGGAGAAAACTAAAGATAGTATCATGAGCACTTACAACTCCCCACAAATTAAAAAGGAAAAAGATAAAGGAAAAAGAGAGAGAGATGAAAAGGAGCGGTTTAAAGAGAAGAAGGAGAAGAGTAAAGAGAAGGAAAGAGAGAAAAGGGAGAAGGGTAAAGACAGAGATAGAGAGAAGGACCGGGTGAGAGAGCAGGAGAAAGTTAAGGCTGAGGGAGGAAGAGAGGGTGGTACAATAACGCAGGTGAGGAAAAAAGAGGATGAGGAGCGGACAAGAGAGGGCAGCAAAGCCTCTCAAACCTCCCTGCCTGCACAGAGAGACGAGAAGTGGGCCAAGGAGTGGGACTTAAAGACGCAACCCCACGTCAAGAGAGAGAAGGAGCACGATAAAGACCGGGGAGGAGCGCAGGGGGCGTCCCTCTTACGACCAAACAGAGAGGAGGCCCGGGACGCCTGTTTGCATAAACACAAGTCTTCACACGGGAAGAAGGAGAAAAGCGGTCACAGGGAGGGCAAAGAGGGCAACGCGTCGAGCACACAGGGGGTGCAGGCAAAGTCAGGCAGAGAGGACGGGAAAACGGGCATTCCCAAACCTGCAAATATTCAGGTTAAGAAGGATGGAAAGAAGGAGAAAGACATCAACAGTAAAGAGGAGAGGAAGAAGTCTGGTCCTGCGCCACCAGAACACAAACCACCACGGACACTCATCACCTTTGACCTCTTTAAGCCGATGGAGGCTCACCGAACTCTGGCCCTTTCCTTCACAGACAGTCGGCCTAAGACCCACCACCACAGTGACTCTAGAGGCTCTTCCTCCAAGCCCGGATCTGACAATCGGACAGTTGTGCCCTCTAAAGGTCCAAAAGTAAAGGACACAGTGCAGGGGAAACCTGGCACACCCCTACAGGACACTCGGCCGCAGCAGCACTCGTTAAAACAGCCCCTAAAAACACACACCCCCCAAACACAGAAAGACTTCTTAATATGAATGTCTAGACGTCTAGTCTTCTTTTTTTACTGTACAACTTACGCTGAGGCTTTTGTTAAAGTATTTGAAAATGCATCCTTCCTTCAGACGTAAACTGGGCTTTCTAAATGTGTAATTGACGTCGTCACCAATGTCACAGCCACATTACTCCAGTGTGGTAGTGAAAAAAAGGATGCACTCTCCAAGTATTTTATCAGGGCCTAAGAATGTAAGCTAAGTAGCTCACTTCACGTTTGTTAGCGAATGTATGTAGGCTCTATATAAAATGTTATGTGACCCATGTGTCAGTGCCTGTGCACTACTTAGCTTCGCTCTTAAAGCACCTATTTTAGGTACTGGACTAACCAATCTGAAAACAACCATCCTTACTCCCCGCTGTAGGAATTACATATGTTCATACATACGTTGAAATCCTCTTCGCCACGTTGCTTTAGTAGATGAGGTTTGTTGTTTATAAGCACTCCAAAACCGGAGCAAGTAGTTGTTTTCAGACTGGACGTTGGTTGAATCACACAGGGCTGTATATGATACTGTATGTACCAAAACTGTACAGTATAGATGTTATTAGCACCAATGTGAGAAAATGTATACAGAAATTGCATATATTTTTTGTAAGACAAGTTTTATTTTCCATAGAACTTATTTATATCATTTGTCTGTTTTTATTTCAAACCAATGTTTGTGAAAATTTTGTTGTAAATACATTTTATTTCCTAAGATAAGACTTGGTAGTGTGATTTATACTCTGATGAGAACCTCTCAATAAATGGTTCAAACACATTGACTTAGTTTTAATGTCTCTACCGCATTTCATGTTAGTAAAGTTTCAGTATTTGTCTTTTTTTCGGCAACATGAGATGATAACGTTGGTCCGATACTGAGAACTATTGCATCGGTTGTCATGAACTATGATGCCACAACAGTTGATATATAGTTGGAGGAAGTTATGGATTTACATTCAAATAGTGTCCGCGGCAGAGGGATGGAAACTGACAAAACAGTCCAATACATCGCGTGCGTACCATCACACATGGAAGTTGTGAGGTTTCTTCGTCCATGATTTCACAAACATATATGGCTTAGTGGATAATTTCATACCGTTAATACACTGATAGTTTCAGTGTCTGAGGATCCCACAGTTAAAGGTGAACTGAAGACCAACATTTAGCGTAACAAGTAACTGATTTAGGACAATGGCAGATCATGTGTGTCTGCTTAACTCCTTAAACCCAGTCTTACCGGTCTAGCTTATGTAAAATAAAACTCTTATTATCCTTGTTGAGCCTGAAGGTGATGTGAAGGCTGGAATTATTCTAAAGATGCCAAACTGTGCCCCTACTGCATGTCATTACGTCTGCAGCTGCTGTGATTTAACCAACTTAAAGCACATGTTCAGTGCACATGAACAAAGAAACAGCAGTAAATGTGGATCGGTCATGTCTGATACCCGATCCACATCAGAAGGTCAGTATCGCCCCGATACCAATCCAGTAGATCAGATTGGTGCATCCCAACCGAGGGATACTTGAGCATAAAGTTGTGTCACCTGTGTTGTACTTCAACGGTCCTTTGGTTCATTCCCTCCTGTAGTGGAAAACACTGTGTCCCAGCTCCACCAGCGCCCCACCCAGCAGCACCCACAGAGGGACACACACCACACTGACCCACATCTCAGCGAGCCTCTCCAGGCGGGAGCACAGCGTCAGGCAGAAGGCCAGCTTCAGCAGCAGGGCCGTCAGGTACCACAACCTCCTCTTCAGGCTCTGCTCGCCATCGCGGGGGTCAAAGTCAGGCTTGCAGCGCCCCGCCATCTTCACTATCAGCATGAGGATGAGGATGGTGTCAAAGGTCCAGACGGGGAGGAAGATAAGAAACCAGTTCCAGTGGATCTTATTGTCCAGCTTGAGGACCAGCATGATGAGGAAGATCAGGGCGAAGCTCCACGAGAGGAGCACTCGCTGGACCAGGGACATCTTCATCTACAGAGGACTGGCACAGAGCCAGTCTCACCCACACCCGGAGAGACACAACCACGGTGATCTGAGAACCACAACACCGCAGACTCAATCTCCTCCTTTGATGGATAAATAGGACTCACACACCACCGGCCAGGCTCATGTAGCTGTTAATGGTACTTAGTGCAGACCTGAAGCTACTGTTTGTTAGCTAACTTATGAAATCCAAATGAATACATTGTTCAAAGAAAGATGTCTTACCAAGTCGACTAGGACAGTCAACCTGTTTGAAGACCGGCTCTTCACCAGCGAGACAAACGTCGGCACTTTTAACCTTTTAGTTTTAAACTCGAAGCAGCTCGATCCCAGCGAGGAGAAGAGTGTAGTTAGCTTAGCTGCGAGCTTTTAGCTACTTCAAGCTTTGCTCCGACGGCAGTTGACAGCAACAACTCCAAGTTTTCCGGTCAGTCTTTACAAAACAAAAGCATGGCTTTAATCAACTGTTTTATTTTGATACGTACCTGCAGGCTTCCGGTACCCCTTTCTCAAAACAAAGCACGAAGTTATCAGCTGATGTCTTTTATTTTGACGGCTACTATTGAGGACAGTGAGTTCACGTGAACTCCAGGTCCGTTTACTAGAGTTAAATATAAGTACTATTGCCACCGTCAAGAATTCATCTTAAAGCTCAAACTGAGGGGTTCTACAAATATATATATGCTGGTTATTTGGGGTGATAACAGTATTTTTAGAATTAAAATATGATAAATCATAATTCTTTGTGGTGTCTGGTCAAAGTTTTCTGGGATGAGGTGGAGGTGGGAGGTACATTGGGGGGATTCGGACTGATGACCTCAGTATTTCTAAAATCCTGGCTGCAGCCCTCGATTATCGGAAGCTGAATGAAGCTCGACTAAATGCTAAATATAAATCCAGCTGCGACTGTGGATCCCCTCTAACCCACCACATCAGAATTCTGTGTTGTTACACACACAAAGCAATATCAATCAGGGAAAATATATTTACAATAAATTAATTGTTTAAAGTAGAAGGCGATAACCCATGTTTTCAAATACTATTCAAATTTATTTAGTTTTTTCTGGGCTGGTATAACAAATTAATACAAAGTACAACTCCGTAGACATTATAGATTGTCAAAAAAGTAAAGTACAAAATGCTTGAGGTGAAACATCGTTTGAAAAAGATTCAGTTAAAAAGCCCTTATTAAAATCTCAATTCATTTAAAGATAAAAGCTCACTTTACACCATCTAGCTGTCCTAAAAGCCAGCAATGCATTTTTATTTACAAGGTAGTGGTGGTGCAAAATACAGTGTGTGAGACAACATTCAGTCAAAAATGTTCATGTCTTTATCAAATGTAAACAATAAACATAGTCATTCCTCAAAGTCTTGCTGTACAGAGCCAACACTGAAAAGCAAATGCAGTCACACTGATGGTTGCTCTAAGAAGAGATGTTTGCATTAAACCTCTATGACACCGGCTGACGATAAAAAAACAATTCAACAGTCCACATTATAGATATCGCACAAAAGAGAGAGCAGAATAACTCATTATTGTGTTACTGCCAAGAGGCAGACAACAAAACATAAACATGAAATATAAAACTGTTATGAGGCTCAAAATACACAAATACAAAAACAAATCCATGATAAATATTGTAAGTTTCTGCCACTTTTCCAGATGAATGGTGGCTGTTAACAGCCATCTCCTCAGTAGAGGTAAGAAACTGATGCTGTTTGAAAACCTCATAACTCTAATTTATTTTGAAGGATTAACACACTCCTTCATGGATTAAAGGATAATATCGACTATATTGTATATTTTTGACATTGTCAACAAATCTCATGAAAAGTCCAAAACCACCAATGTGTTAGTCCATAACTCAATACTTTGACTTCCCCAGCGTGTCTGTGAAACTCGATTAAATTTATCTTATATAGCCTAAAATCACAAATCACAAATTTGCCTCAGAGGGCTTTACAATCTGTACACATGCAACATCCTCTGTCCCGGGACCCTCACATCGGAACAGGAAAAACTCCCTCAAAAAAAACCTTTAAGGGGGAGAAACTCGGCCCCAAATAAATAGTTTAAAATTCAAGAAAGCAGAATAATTCTTTGGTACTGTAGTTTTTAGCACCAATAACAGGAGTAAATAGTGCATTTGTTGGGGACTATTTTCAGCATTTGATGATCTGGTGAGTATTTACGGTACCATCGATGTGAATGTGGGATTGAGTCAAAATAAAATACACTGGCTACGTTTCTCCAAATAAAGAATCATGTGGCAGGTGTTTGATGTGTTATTAGATTTAGGACACAAACTGAGGTCTGTGGCAGTGGCAAGAACAATGGGAGGCAAAACTTCCTGGGATCAATTCATTGTTGATTTTGGTATTTTCAAGGGAGTCTTTTGTCAATAAAAGAAATATAAAATATCACCAGATTTATCCCTAATATGACTTATTCAGGTTTATGATAAAATGTGAAAGCTCAGGATAAAAAGCTTGGATAAATTCACAACTACATTTTCCTCAAGTTGAAAACCTGGTAAAACATTCAGTCACTTATTAATAATCCCACTAGGATTTGCTTTGTATGTTTGCTTTGTATGTTGTGGGACCAAATATATTTCCTTAAAAAGTTGACATTTTAGAGCTGCGAGGTTTCCACTCATCAGTGAAAGCACTTGGAATAGACTCGTAAGAAAGGAAGATGGTACCAATTTAATGAAATGTAACTGTAATATTTTAAATATTTTGCCCTCCTAAAAGGCAACCACAGCTACACAGTGCTCTGTCTGCTCTCGCGGCAGTACCCTATAGCCTCTGAGGAGTGAGGTGGAAAATCAATAAATATCCCATCTGAGTCGGAGTCTGCAGACTCGTGCACTTGTCCAATTATGGTTTCAGGGCTGGATGATTCACTGGGCGGCGTGGAGGATGCACCCTTACTGAGATCAGTCATTGTTGTTGTGGCCTCAGTGCCGTGCAGAGCTCCTGAGGAATGAAGGGAAAGGATAGAAGGAGACGAAAGAGACGAAAGAGGCAAGGCCACGGCACTCGCTCCCGCTTGTACAATACCTGTGTATGAGAGGGTATTGGATTATTATGGATGGTGACATTATGATTTCAGTATTTTCAGACATCTTCATCTGTGTCATACCATTGAAGTGAGAGCCCACACGCAGCCGGTTGGAGGAGGGGCCAGATAGTTCAGACCCTGAGGCCAAGTCAGCGTAGGCAAGTCCTTGTTCTTCCAGGCATGTTATAATCTCGCAGGCCGAGTGGCGCCGAATTCCTCCACTGCCAACAGAGCTGGCATCTGGGTCATACTCAGCCACGGGGGTCAGCAGCAGGGGGATATTGTAGCTTTTAGATCGTACCACAGGGTTTTTAGAAGGTTGATCCGCAGACTTGGAGCAGCCCCACGGTAAGCGCTTCTCTGAAAGACAAGGGGAAAAAAAAGTAGGGAAGGTGTTAAATTTATGTCACTCGTCAGACACATGGCATCATTAATCTGCTTCTGGGATCAGGGTCTCACCCAGAACACAGCAATGGGCCTCAGCACCGTCTTCAGAGTAAAGCCCGTGCGTGCCCAGGTAAGGCGAGACCACCTTCTGAATCAGGGACTCGAGCCTCAGGTAGTCCTCGTTCACACCGCGCGACTCATGGACCCCCTAACAACAGACAGAGGCAGGCATCAAAGTCATACAGTAGATTGTTTCTGTTGGTCTAAACTAAAGTTGTCCGCTTGGTGCAATCAAGACCACGAGAGAAATAATAAATGACAATTTTTACAGGATAAGCCGTTAATGAACAAACATTTTGTTCTTCTATTTTCTCAAATGTAGAAGAAGAATGTAGTCAGTAAGTAAGTAAAATGTCTATATTTGTTTAATTCAATTATGGTTAAGACTTTATGCCCTTGGTGTGTTTATGCCATTCAGTCTGATGTATTCACGTCTTGATATTAGATTTAAATTAGACAGAAAACCACGATCACACTATCTGTGATAGTGGTTCACTCTGTGCGCAAAGTTCTAAAACATAATTTGGTGCCATTTTGACTGGTTGGGAACAGAAAGAACAAGCAAACAGTGAGTGAGGAAACAGGCTATTAAGTTTGGCCTGCAGGCCTACCTGTAGAATAAGCAGCATCTGTGTAACAGAAGGAGGCACACGGGCCCGAGGTCGAGACAGGGCGTCCTCTAACTTCACACTCAGGACTATGGTGTTCCTGAAGTGAAGCAGAGCTAGCTGTCGGACAGAGGGCTCCTTACCCTGCACACATTAATAAGGACACAGAAAACAGACAAGGTTGATTAACTGAGGTTGTTGGGCAGCAAAGACCAAAACAAAACAGCTGACTCTTAAGATGTTTGTGCACCTGAACCGGATGGAAGATTGCCTGCAGCATGGAGAGAACATCACAGAAGAAGAAGTCCCAGGTCTCTGCCAGGGAGTCGAGTAACTTCTGACCTGCATCAATCACACAGGAACAAGCCAAGAAGACAGTTGATTCAAGCTTAACTCACAGGCACAGACCACTACAAAATGTATTCAGACCATTTATCCAGTCAGCATTACCTTCGTAGAACCTTATTTTGTCCCGAAGGATGACCATGCCTTTTGTCAGCAACTGGTTCTGTGAAATACAGTGAAAAGATGGCATTGAATAATAATATCTGAGACAGCACTGCTTTCATTTATCTGAAGGGTGTTTTGCAGCCATAATCCCAATCCTTATTCAATCTTAAAAGAGTATTACCTGAAGGTACTCTGTGAAGAAAAACCCCAGCTCGGTCTTTAACAGATGCCTGAGGAAACAAACGTGTGGCTTTTGCTTCACTTTATGACTTAAACACAACAATCATAAGACGGACAGTATTCAACCATTATTTTGTGTGAATAAGGTATTTACAACCTGCAATGAATTACTAATCTGCATTAAATGAGACTGTGCAATTGCATTAAATACAACCACAGGATCTGCTGAGCATCCTGTTTTCCTGCATTATAATGGTGAGTTTCCTGTGTAGTTGAAGAAATGTGCGTCGACCTCGTGGCTTTTCTGTACATGGAAATATGTTTACTGGGCTGTGATAGAGGCTGATGTGATAGAAGTGACGGGTCTGGTTTAGAAAGTTAATGAGATATCTGGCATAACCACATGACTCCCCAGGCCAACATACAGTACACTTACACAAACAAACGTATTCACAAGAAGACGTTCAGTCAGCAAACGTAGGACAGAACGGTAATTATACAAATTATGGCACAAAATGACATCAACAGTCATTATAAGGACATACACAGCAAAGTGAGGATGTTGTCTCTGTACTGTGTGAATGTGTGTGTGTGGCTGTTTCTGTATAAACTTACCGGACACCTTCGTTGAGAGTGTAGAGTTCATTATCTGCCAAACCTTTCTTCTGGAAGACTGCTATGACAGCGTTGTGGATACTGCAACACAACACACGCACACAAACGTGTCTAAATAATTGTTCAAAATGCATTTTAGCCACTACATTTTTTTCACCTTGATTGTATTTGGCGTACCTGTTCCAGGTGGCGTTGGCTCCTGCCCTCTTCTGCTTCTCTCCTCTGTCCTCTGGGGAACTTTTCTCGCTCTTCCCCAGCTCGCTGAGGCTGGGGGAGCTCATCAACTTCAGCCGGTGCAAAGTCCTCATGAGGGAGATATAGAGGAAGTGGAGAGAAACAAGAGTATACACTAAGTAGTGGACACTACAGAAAGAAGGTCAGCCTAAGAGCTGACATACAGAGACGGAACCAGAGGAGATTGCTGGAAGGGAGAACATAAGCCGTGTGAATCCAAGAGCGAGATAGAGTACGCCAAGAGGGAAAAAGCACAATGACAATAGAAAGAGCGGCCGGTGACAGAGGAGGAGAGAAGTAGGACAGAATGATGCACGGTGAGAGAGGGGCAGCACGCTAAGAGCAGCATGGGAGGAGCCAATCCGAGAGGTGGGCCACTGCTCTGCCCGAGGTCTCAGAAGAGGAGGAAACAATAGCACATGCATTGATGGGTGGAACAATCCGTACAAAACAACCATTGATGGAAACAAATATTTATGCAGAGCACAGATGCCAGAGGAACTGCAGGGGTAACCAGACTGAAGCAGTTGGGACTTTGTTGTGCTTGTCACTGTACGACGAGGAGGCGGCGGATGCGGAGGAGGAAGTTGTTCGGCTTATTAACAACAACAACAGGGATAGGAAGTAGTGACACAATGCAGGACAATAAAGAAGGTTTTCCTGCTCTTCCATTTTCAGCACAGCTGCAGTGTGTGAGACTAGCGCCCGACTGATACTGGATCGTTGACGCTGATAATGATATTGATATTTGAGAGTGTAAATGTCCAGTTTCTCCTCTTTTAAGGTTGGAAAATCATTTATGTATTAGCTTGTTTGAAATATTCACTATGATGTCCACAGGATCATGACCATAAGAATTTAAACTTGAATAATAGTATCGCTTTACCTCTTCTTATCACTACCAGTCAGAATCCCAGAATCTCAGTTTACAGCATGGGACAAACAGATATCCCGGTTTATCTGGGCAGGAGTAAGGCCAAGGGTAAAGTGTAAGACACTCCAAATTGACAAGGAAAACGGAGGACTAGCACTGCCAAATCTCAGAGAATACTACTACGCGGCCCAATTGAGGTACATTGTTTATTGGTGCTCCCCAGAGTATCAAGCTGGATGGAAACACATTGAGCTAAATCTGGGTCAATCTCAACGTCAGGTCAGGCTAGGTGGAAAAGAATATACTGACCAAAAGGGAGAAAATTCCATCTTAGAAGATTCACTGAAAATTTGGAATGAGATAGTCAAAAAATACAAACTGGAAGGAGACAGTAAACTTCTGATTTGGCCTTCTCAGACCCCCAGGTTTAGACCTGGACAGATAGATAATACTTTTGTACGCTGGAGAGAAAAAGGGATAACAGCGGTATGTACACTCATAGAGGGAAAAACTTTTAAAACTTTTGAAAAACTCAAAAGAGAATTTAATTTAGAAAATGGGGACCTGTTCAGATATTTACAGCTAAGACATTTCTATGATACAGAAATTAAAAAAGGAATTTCATCAGAAGGTAATGAAGTGATTGAAGTGCTGACAGGTGCATACAAACAAACCCCCTCAAAGTTGGTCTCCAAACTGTACAGGAGTTTACAAAAACGAAACGGAAGAAACACACTATATGTAAAACTGAAATGGGAAGTAGAACTGAACGTTGAACTGTCGAAGAGTGATTGGCATTTCATGTGTAGAACGCAACAAACATCCACCAGCTCTAGAAGATGGAGGGAATTCGGTTGGAAGAACTTAATCCGCTTATTTATTCCACCCCATATAAAACATAAACAGTTGGGTAAAGAGCAGCCATGCTGGAGACAGTGTGGGCAGATGAATGCTAACCACTCACACATTTTCTGGACATGTATAAAAATACAAGCATTCTGGGACAGGGTTATTCAGACTCTGGAGGAGATTCTATGCTACGAGATTCCCAGGGACCCCCGGATTGTGTACCTGGGAATGATACCTGGCGACATAATTCAAAAATAGGACTTCTACCTCTTTAAAATCCTGATACTCGCAAGTAAAAAGGCCATCACAAGGAGCTGGTTGAAAAGTGACCCTCCAAGTCCAGGACAGTGGCTGGACATTGTGGAGGAAATATAAGGATCAAAGCAGGGATCCATGATCAGCGCTGGAGAAAATGGACTGTTTACAAGGGAAAAGATGAGTAGTGTTCTCAGGTGACCTGGAAAGAATAGATACCATACCCAAAATGTTTGTTAAGAGTGAATGGTGACCCCCTTTTATTTTATTTTATTTTATTTCACTTTTATGTCTATTTGTACTTTTGTCATTAACGATGTTTTGACGCATTTTTTGTTCAGTGTAACAGCAACTGAAAAAAAAATAAAAATAAAAAGATAAAAAATAATAATAATAATAATAATAATAATAATAATAGTATCGTGATATTTATAGAACATTTGAAAAAAAAGAAACAATAAAATAATGCAAATTCAAGAAAGTTTAGTTTCTTTTTTGGCAAATAAATTACTCAAAATACGAGTGTAGGGAGGTGGAAAGAGAGTCTAACCATAACTTTACAAAAGCATGATTTAAGAGGTGCTGGGTTATTTACATATTATCATATGTGTATTATTAACATAATATCAATATTTCCTTTTAAAATATCACCTGTATATCGCAACACCCCTAGTTTGAACTGTAATGAATGACATATTCAAGCCCAGTACTTCATGTTGCGAGCCTGCGCTGGTAGGCCACAGATACTGACTGACTGTTAGGTGGTGAAGGGAATATTTTGACATTTTGGGGAAAAATCCATTTTACTTTGTTTGCCGATAGTTAGATGAGGAGATTGATACCATTCTCTCTTTAAGCTAGATCCAACAGTTGTTTTGCTTGGCTTAAGAACAGCTGGACTATTTTGTGTGACATCATGTCACTGTGAAATTCCCAGGAATCCAGTGAAGATTCCAGGGAGTCACTGCACCCGACAGCAAAATAGTCTGGCACATAACCGCTGTGTCGTCTGTGGCTTCTACACTTTAGTCTAAAAAACACAACTTAGTGAGCTTTAAAGTTTAGCTTCATATTTACCGTACAGACACGAGAGTCGTATCAATCTACCCATCTAACTCTCGTCAAGCAAGCGAAAGTGAGTATTACCCAAAATGTTAAACTCAGTGATAACAACGTATCAGTCAATAATAATTTACAGATAAATGCACAAAATGTACAGAGCGGGACATTTTGAAAAATAAACTTGTCAGTGCTCTCTGGTGGACAAACTATAATGTAAACAAAACTACATCAAAATGTATTTTTGGCATTTCAGTACAGATATTTCACATTAATCAGCAACATATAATAATAATAATAATAACTTTTATATATATTATAAAATATATACTGATACAATACATCTGCAATAAACCCGACAAACTCTCCTCTTAAATCCTAACTCACTTCAGGACGCAAAACACAACGACACTGTTTGAGTATTTTCAGAAGGTACTGATGAAAACTAGCACTCTGAAAAAGAAATGAGGAATTTAAACCCACGCAGTCCACAAACTCTCTGCTGACAGCAGGGCAGTAAACAACAGACCCTCTTCCACGCCCACACACACACAGACACAGGAAGCATGGAAAGCAAGTGTACAAACCGATGAGATGTACATCATGCAAACATCCCACCGGGAGATCGTTATCATTAGTTCAACATGTGTTGCAAGCAAAGCTGAGCCCCTTAATTAAGACTTTTGGGAAAAGAAACGTTGGGATTTGTACGCATGTAAATTAATATTTCATGCATTTCCCAGGATTCTGTGCGTTGTGAAATTGTAATCCCTGGAACTGATCCTCACCTCCTGATTGGATGCTCACTGCTGCTGTCCATGTCTGGGCTCGGGGGAGGGGCAGAGAAGGTGCTGAAGTTGAGTGACAGGGGTCGGGATGAGGGCCGGGAGGCGTGCCTCCGCCGGAGTCCATCAAGCATCTGAACATAAGAGGAGAGATGATGGAGAAAGATTATTACGGTCGGACTGAACGTAAACGTCTCATCGAAGGCTCATAAAGTGAACTGGCGTGATTGCAGATTAAGCAGCTCGAATGTGTCAGTGAAAAAAATGTCTGAAGGCCTGACACAGTCATCGTAGTCCTGCTACCACTCACTTTGAGACGATGAATTAAATAAGGAACACTGAAGCACTAAAACACAGACAAAACAAATGAAAGTATCACTTACGGTCACCGGGACACAGGAGAAAATTAAGCCATACATTTGTGACCCCCATAAAGGAGACGTAGTGTGAAATAAGCTGGGTGCTTTCTGTTTCCCTATTCTGTTATTTCAACACTATGCAAGTGTGTTTTGCAATCAGAGCTCAAGCTACGCCCCAACCGTCACACAATGACACACACACACACACATTGCATCAGAGAAAGAGGGGAAATGCATGTGTGTGCATGTACAGTAGCCGAAGAGTGTGAGCGTGTGTGTGTGTGTGTGTGTGTGTGTGTGAATTATTCCTGTAAAAGCCATGAAGGCAGTATGACAGTTCAGTATTGTAGTGTATTTGGGTGTCTCCTCATAGAAACATACTGGGCATAGTAAAGCACCATCCCCTGGTCAGAGGGGGGAACAACAGTCTGGGTTGTCACTACAGACAAAGACACAACACGAGCGCCCCTCTTCACTGCCACCATGCATGCATGATACAATTGGTGTGTTTTCAGGAGGATAGGTCTGCAGTTTAAGAGGAGTAAGATCACATCTCAGCCAAATCCTGAGAAGCGACGGACTACAGACACACACACACACACGCACACACACACACCGTCTACCCGACATGCCATGCCACGCCACGCCAGTCTGGGCATTTCTGCTTTTGTTCACCCCTCCTCCTTTTCTTTTAGAAGCGACCTCAGCCAGCTCGATAACACTTTGAATTTATATCAGTCTCGATGTTGCCTTTCTGGCCTGTTGATATCCTACTGTACTATCCCTGTCATGTTTATTCGATATAAAATAGCCAATCAGTCGCCCAGACACGGAATCAACAGCACACGTTTATCCTACACGGAGGAATGTACGGCCAGTCGTGCGTACGTGGAGGGTTTTCTATTTTTTCTACCTGTGTGGACGAGAGAATGAGGCAAAGTATCACTGTAAACAACGTGACTGTCTTGTGGACGCACACACAGACTGGGACAGACGCATCATAAAGTCCCCCTTTGGGTAAAAACTGGATGATAATGGCCACAAAGTTGTCGTATGTCATGTGCCTCTGGCCGCCCACTGTAGCCCGCACTCACCGTGCCTTATCCTGTCGTGTTGCTCCTGATGGGATGAAACAGTGATGCAGCACTGGTGCGAAGTGTTTACTGTCCGGGGCTCATCAGCGGCTGGCTTCTCTACTGTTCCCCGTGGGTCTGCGCACCCAAACGGGCATCAGGGTGCAGGCGGATGAAGGATCCGACCTGCTGTGCGGTAGAGGGGGACTCATTCATGAAGCATGCGCCGCTCGCTCCCTCGCTCAATGGCTCGCCCCCGCTTTGTTTTGACGAGATGCAAAGCGAACCTGGGCGCGTGGACGCGAACGACAGCAACACACGGACGCGCAGTGTGGTTATAGCTTTATGCAAAACAGGGGAATCACTGGGATTCATGACAAAAACACAATGGCATACATTTTGTCATGACCTGGATGGACACTATCTGGCACACATAGACCCTAAAACCCGTGAAACAATCCGCCAAAAAGAAAGCTATAAATGTACTCTTCTTGATCCATCGCACTACCGGAGCTACACGCAGGTGTGCAGACATTGGAGAAACGCCATGTGCCACGTTGCTCTGGCCTCCTAAATGCACATGGTTGTAAAATGTGTACGACACAGTGGATGATAGATAACCCATATTATCCTACACTGACCCCAATCTATGCCGTTTAACACAGTGGGTGTCTTGCCATCTGTCAACGCAGGCGCGAGCATTTGGCTGATAATCCCCATTTTAGATGGGCCGTGATGTAAATATCTGGGTCTCGTGAGAAATTCCACTGGCATAAAAAAAAAGCAATTAAAACTGAGGCATCCAGTTGGCCTACATTTCAGTTGACCCTTCAATACATGGGATTTACGTGAGCAGAACTGAGCAAAAAACACAATCTTGACATTCATATGTAGGCTATGTTGTGATTATCTTAACTCGTATTGGATCAAAGAGGCGAACATTTACACTATATCTATACTCCAAATATACAGTAAGGGGAGGTTTCTTTCACCCAAGATGCAGTCTTTATTTCTGTACAGATAATAGTTTATAGGCCAATAGTGGAAGTAAAAAGTCAACCAATCTTTCTATAATTAAAATAAAAACCAAATCACAAATGTATAGCCACTCCCAAATTAGAAGAACAATTAGCATATGTAAACGTCATTGTGAAAACATGAATATCTTGACTGAATCTTCCTGGTCCATAAATGTAATGTCATTGCACTGCATCTTTCAGCAATCAACAACTTTGATGCTGCTAATAAAAGTAGTGGGTTGGTGACGTGTGTGTGCAAACATTTCTAGTCAAGAAGGAAAACCTTCATACTTTGGAAACAAGTACAAGTCTGCCACCGTGGTTTAGTTTGTTCAGTTCAGTGGGTTTGGGGGTCCTCCCATGGAAAAATACGAGTGTAATTTATTGTATTCTGAGACATTTGCATACATTTATTGTGAAAATGTCTGAAGGAAAACACTACATTTTCACCATTAAAAATACAAAATACAATGTCATGTAATCCATATAATGCAGTAAGGCTACCTCTTTAAATGTGCATGTGGCACCTATATTCACATCAATAATACATTAATTGTTAATTAATGTAACATTAATTTAATTTATAAAACCCTGACTGTAATTGTGCATACATGTTTCAGGAAGATTTTTTCTCATGTTCAAAACTCTCTGCACATTCAAAACATATCCCTCATATCTGTGGGATATGTGGGATATATGTGGGAAAAAACTGAAAAAGGGCACTTTCTCCCTAGAAGGCCAAACGTCAGGTGCTCAAGCCCCCTTTGAGGTCTATGCAAGTGTCAGACCCTGATCCAAAGAGGAACATTGTACCAGTCAGGAGCAGCAGCTTGTACAGTAGCAGGAGACTGATGCCGTTATACCAGCTCTTCTCTCTCAAGCAGCTGAGAGCCAAGATCAGAAAGTGGGTAAGCATGGAGACTCAGGTTCTCACGCAGAGCCAAAATCACAGAAAAGATGCAATCATTTTTGTAATATGTTTTGTTGTTGTAATACAAATTTTAGCCAGAAGAGGCTGACGTTCACCACTATGTTCTAAGTGGGACTAAAAGCATTCTGGCTTTCTTTCAGGAGCTTATTTGAGGATCACATTTGTGAGGTGTTGAGGGGGGACCAGCAGACTGGATGGAGACAAGGGCATCAAGGGGAGGAGAGGAAGACCTGAAAAACACAACTAGATAATGCAGCAAAATGTTTCCTCAATAGGCCTACTTGATACTGATTATTTTTTCAGATTCTTAATTTTGTTTTTTTTTAACAATTTACACAGCATTTTTGCCTTTTTTTTTGGGAGATGGTATAGAATGGAACCAGAGGAAGTGCATAGTATGTGTCTAAACCAATAGATACCTGAATATACACACACAATATTTATTTTGATTTGTATTTTATTTTGTCACCAAATTAAAGGACTGACAAACAGGGAAGGTCTACATTTAATTACTGTGAGTCATTCTGAGACTTAAATGGCCTTGAATATAATTAAATGTAAGTCACTTTTAATTCCACGTCAACATTACAAAAAGCACACTATCATTATATGATCATATTATCAAGGTAGGACTGTGTTTTATAGTGTGCAAGGTTTTGATCTATCTTCCATGAAATCTGATTCAAAAACACATAAGAATGTGATATTGTAGCGGGAGAGACTTTATAAATTTATTATCTCAGAAAAAAGTCAGAAAAATATCATAGCATAGTATGCCATGATAATATGAATTTGTCATAAAAATGTAATTAAAAAGTCATACTATAGGAGGCCATGAAAAAATAATAATGTTCGTATCTCATAAAAAACATAAAATATGTCATAGAAACATATGCCATGAAAAAGTATACCATGAATAATAATAATATGGTATGTTCTAAAAAAATAAAATAAAAATTTCATTAAAAATATCATTGTATACTATGTGTAAAAATGTCATAATATCCTACGCCTTAAAAAAGTTTAAAAAAGCGTTAAAGTATGCCAAAGAAAATGTCCCAAAAAGGAATAGCATAGTACTCCATAAAAGTATTTTATGAAAAGTCATAGTATAGTTTAGTATATTAGTATAGTACAGTCATAGTAGTGACATAGTATAGTATGTAAACATGTCATAGAATAATATACAATGAATAAATTATGATATACTATGTCATCCAATTTAATATAGTAAGGTGTGTCATAAAAAAGTCCGAGTACAGATTTTCTTAAAAAAACTGTTATCACATAAAATGTCATTGAATAGTGTGCTATCGTTTTTCTTAACTGTCCTCGCTTTAGGATTGGAAGTATCCAGGTTCTTTTCTCTAGAAAGATTCATTGATAAATAAATAAACATATATGTATATATATATATGTGTATATATACATATATATACTGTATATATACTGTATATATATATATATGTGTGTGTATATATGTATATATGTGTGAATTAAATTAAATAAAGTTATTGATAAATACATTGTTTATTTACTATAAATGATTGAAAATGAGTTATTTAACACAGCAAATGATTTAATTATTAACTGATTATTAATTTAGAAAAACAATATTTTGAAAAATAACTATGAATGAATTATTGAATATATGATTCAAAATATATACTGTATATATATATATATATACTGTATATATATAATCCTTCTGAGCTCTGTAGATCAGGCCTTCTCATTCCAGACCGCTCGGTCGCCGACGTAGACCGCAAAGGGTGCATCCTCCGAAGGATGCAGCCGCTGGATTGGGACAGAGCCAGGTTTGACACCACGCGGAAGTAAATGTAAAACATGTACAAAAATATCACGCGCGCTGGTAGTTTTAGCTGCGTGTACCTGTCAAATTAGCTGG